GCAGTGGAGATACAGTACCTGGCCGACAAAGGTGCAATCATAGAGACGCATCCACGGGTTTCAGGTTTTCTAAGCAACCTTTTCGTGGTGCCCAAGAAAGGCCGGGGTGTCCGTCCGGTCATCAACTTACGTCCCCTGAACGCCTTTGTAGCGTACCACCATTTCAAAATGGAGGGCATCCACTCCCTCCGAGATCTGCTCCTATTGGAGGATTGGATGGTCAAACTCGACCTGCAGGACGCATACCTCACTGTCCCAATGGCCGAGGTTTTCCAACATTTCCTCCAGTTCCAATGGGAGGAGACCACACGGCGTTTCAAATGCTTGCCCTTCGACCTCTCCTCGGCCCCATGGTGCTTCACGAAGCTCATGCGGCCAGTGGTCACTCTCCTACGCAGCAGAGGGGTACGTCTGATTATATACTTGGACTACATGCTTCTGATGGCACAAGACCCACGCTTACTCCAGGAACACCTGAATTGGACAAAGACATTACTCGGCAACCTTGGTTTCCTCATCAACTGGGGCAAGTCGGTGGTACAACCCTCCCAAGTCTTGGAGTTTCTGGGCTTCACCATCGATTCGGTGGAAGGGACACTCCTGTTACCATCTTCCAAAGTCAGGATCATCAAGAAAGAAATCCGCCGGACATTGGCTCGACCTGCACTAACGCTACTAAAACTGGCCAGAATCATCGGCCTTCTCTCGGCCTCCATCCAGGCCATTTTCCCGGGCCCACTTCACTACAGGGCCCTTCAACACCTAAAGGCAAACTACCTCCGCTCAGGTCTCTCCTATTCCAACTCTGTACCTCTCGATTGCGCAGCCAAAGAAGAACTCTCTTGGTGGCTGCAGCACATGGAAGCATGGAACGGAAGAGCAATCTTTGGGATGAGGCCGGACTTCATCGTGGAATCGGATGCAAGTCTGCTGGGCTGGGGCGCGCGTTGCGGTCCTATCTCCACCGGAGGGAAATGGTCCCCAGATGAACAGGAGTTACACATCAATTGCCTCGAACTATTGGCGGGGTCATTTGCAGTTCGGAGTCTCGTAGGTATCTCAACCAACTGTTCCATTCTTTTACGGATGGACAACGTGTCAGCGGTCCGCTACATCAATCATCTCGGGGGTACGAAGTCAGTGGTGTTAGCGGAACTAGCAAAAGACTTCTGGCACTTCTGCCTGGATCGCAATATTTCGGTTCTGGCAGAACACATTCCCGGGATGTCCAATATGGTGGCGGATTGGAATTCCAGATACCTACGGGATGCCAGCGACTGGCGGCTGAAGCGGGCCATTTTCCTGCAACTCCAGACACTCTGGGGCCCACTGGAGATCGACCTCTTCGCTTCACGGTTGAACTCTCAACTACCTAGGTTCTTCAGTTGGAGACCGGATCCAGAGGCATTGGCTTCAGATGCCTTCCTTCAACAGTGGCCGGACACGCGAGTGTACGCTTTTCCTCCTTTCTCATTGATTGCGAGGACGCTTCTACATCTCAGGCGCTACCGAACCTCCATGATTCTCATCGCCCCATTCTGGACGGCTCAACCATGGTTCCCTACACTCATGGAGGTGTCCATGGACTACCCAAGACTGATTCCAACCTCTCCGGACCTCTTGTTGGACCCCAACGGGGAACCGTACTCCCTACTATTACAGGGACACCTCCAGTTACTGGCATGGCTCCTCTCCGGGGACTTGGATTCATCCCGGACGTTCCACAAACAACTATTGACCTTCTGGCGGGAGCTTGGGCTCCAGGAACAAGGAAATCCTACTTACATGCCTGGAATTCATGGAGTGGTTGGTGCATGGAACAACACATGGATCCCTTATCGGCACCTATAAGTCACGTTTTGAGATTTCTCACTTCTCTGTTTGACCATGGCCTAGCCTATCGCACGATAAATGTGTACCGATCGGCTATTTCCGCAGGCCACCAAGGGTTGGATGGTGCCCCGGCAGGTAAACATCTCCTCGTACGCCGACTCCTGCGCGGCATTAGATTTGCACGTCCACCGCAACCTAGGCACTCTTCATCATGGGATGTTGACCTTGTCCTCCAGCTTCTGGGAGATTGGCCAAGGAACGAAGATCTCTCACTGAAACAACTCACAGCAAAGTTGGCGATGTTGTTTTGTTTGATCTCCTGTAAGCGGAGATCCCCGAAGGTGTCTCGTTTAATATTTCCAGGCGTACGAAGACGTCAATCACCTCAGTTTTCTACCCGGCCTTTCCACATAACTCTAAGCTATGCCCAGTGGCATGTCTCAAGGAATACGAGTCCAGGACTTCTTCGATTCGTGACCCTGCATATCCGGAGTTATTCCTAGCCCTTCGTCATCCATATCACCCTGTTTCAACAATCACATTGTCTCGTTGGGTCAAATGGATTATGAAATTAGCGAGCATCGACACTTCTGTGTATGGAGCACACTAGGTCAAGGGAGCCATGGCGACTAAAGCTTTTTCCAAAGGATGCAGGTTAGAGGACCTACTCTGGGCGGCTGATTGGTCCCGCGAATCTACCTTCAAGGAGTTTTATTTTCGGCCAGTTTCTCATTTTTCAGAGGTGGTCGTGTCACAGCTTTGAACTAGCATAATATGAGCCTCCGTGTCCTTAAATAAAATGACCAGATTTGACTAATTTCATGACGTAAAGTCATGATTTTATTAAGGACACGGAGGCGAGTATTATCCCACCCGATGCAGGTAAGTGGTGCCCTCCCATGGATAGGTGGTCAGTAAGTTGCTACGGATTCAGGTTACTACAGCACACTGCATGTATTGAAAGGTTTTGGTTAGAGGATAATCTGGTTTTGGTGGCATATATTCCGATGACTAATTCTGTAATATGGTTCTGTTCAAAGGTCCAGAAACATATTTTACCAGTTTGTTTCTCTGTTCCTTTCAGCTTCATGATCGGGTTTGGCACCGTTGTGCATGGATTCCTTCAGGACCTACGGGAAGATCCCAGCTTCTGGAGAGTACCGGATTTTTCACTGTGGCGGTCTTGGCATTTTGTTTTTTTCCTTCAAGTTGACATGTTGCTGTGGATTTTTTGTCGACAACACCAAGAAAGAGGAGTGGCTTAAGGTCACATGGGGAGTTGAGGGTGCTGAAGGCATGCTGATTTGTTGTATTGTTATAGGACTAACCCTTTGGGGCATGTTTACATGTTTGATTTGTTTCTCTAAAATAAATTTTCTTGCTGCTGAGGAATAAAAGAAAGAGAATAAGCATAATACTCGCCTCCGTGTCCTTAATAAAATCATGACTTTACGTCATGAAATTAGTAAAATCTGGTAATTCTTATAAATGTTCTTCAGTTGGTTCCAAAAGTGAGTTCTACACCAATCCAAGGCCTGCTCATGCCCTTTGGCTTCACAGTTTCTCGGCTGCTAAGCCCATTCCCTTCTGGGATAAATTGAGGCTCTGGGGATAGACTTCTGCATTTGGCAGTTGCCCCTCCGCACCAGTGACTAGGTTTCCTCCAATTCTTGCCTGAGACTGAATTGAGGTAGCCGGGAAGATGTCTGCACAGGCTTACTATTTGAAGGCAACTTTGCTGCCCTCGGCTCCTCATTGAAGCTTGTTTCGGGTAGTCCCTGCACGCTTTTGTAGCTATGCCCAGAAGCATTGAAATATTACCTCCAGTCGCTGCAGACAGAATTGTATGTATCTGCAATAAGCTTGTAGGGAAAAGCTCAGGTCCGGCATGCTTGGAAGGAGTGTGTCCCCATTTTAAGTCAGTGAGCGTCATCTGGTAACAGTTGAAATCTTCACTTAACAGGCAGTTGGTAGCATGCCAGTGGGGACCGGGATAAATCCACCGATTTATAAATATAAAGAAGAAGCCTAAGACCCACTAGTGTCACCCCATTCTTAACGATTTGGATGGAGGCACTTGCTGCACCCATCCGAACAGCTCGAAGGTCAAGCTCTGCACCCCAATATATTTTATTTTTTTAATGCACTATCCATAGAACACATTCAAAAGCATTAAAGGGACACTATAGTAAACAGAACTACAGCTTAATGTTTCAGAGGAAAGGCAGTGTCTAGAATACTGCCTAGTAACACTCCACTAGACTTAATGGCCACTAGACGTGCTTCCTTTAGTGTCTCCATGCTCTGCATCTCTGTGATTGACATTTTGCTGCACATGAGCAATAGCATCTCTATGAGTGGCATTTTGCTGCAAATGAGCAATAGCCTCCCAAATATATACATATGGGGAAGCTTTGGATTGACTGAGATCGTCAGATTTAATGATCTAAGCCAAGGAGGCAGAGCGGGTGGGATCAAACCGCAACAAGACCAACTGACGGTGTGCTTAACTCTTCAAGGTAAATATCTGAAAAATAGCAGTTTACCTTGAACAGTTAAACCAGTGGTCCCCAAACCAAACTGGTCCTCATCAATCCAGAATTTATGTATTTTGCTGTTTTTAATGGAGCTACTGCCAAAACCTGTACTGTTGCTGAATGGTGAGGACTGGTTTGTGAATGACTGGGTTAAACTGACAGAACCACTGCACCCAGGCCACTTTTTTTGAGATGAAGTGGACTGGAATTCAATTCCAATTATATAACTTTATTTGTATAGGATTTCCTTTCTGACTGTTACATGTTAGGGTTTCAATAAGGATTTTCCCAGTGGGAGGAATGAGAAAATGACATTTCTAACTTCAAGAATTCACAAAATCTAATGATAGCTGTCATTTTAGTCTCATGGGGACTATTTCTCCAAGGCTCATAGTATTGATACGAAGAATCTACAGAACCTTGAGTCTTAAGCACCACTTCTCATTGCAATGATTACAATGAAATATATTTAGTATGTGCAAATACCAGAGCTCTGTGTTAATACATATGCATGAGCTTAAGAAAGATTATGAATTCCCTCAGTGAATTTCAACAACAAAATTAAATATTAAAAAATATATACTTATGTTAGGTAGTCAGAATATCGGGCTTCAAATATTTATTACAGCCCTTATAAATATCCACAAACCTGTTTTGTTTATTTATTTTTTTATAGACAGATTATGCTATTATCAACAGTCATTTTTAGCAAGTAGTGCAACTACCAACACACTTTTCTGTTAAGCAATTTGTTTTACACACTTGACAAACAGTACCTAAGGACCATTTCACTTTTTAGTACTTTTTTTTTTTATTATTACAGAAACACTGTATCTTGCTTTATAAGCACTATATGCTATTATGTCTCGCTACATCATTTTATGTTACAAATAACAGACTGCAGTACTGTTTACATAAGAGAAAAACTACACTAACTCAGATAACACTATAACTGGTACTTCGTTTGCATTGTTTAATAAAGGTGTATAAACACACAGTAACCAACATAACATGGGTTAGGTTATGACAAATGAAGCACACTTGTTAAGATATACTGCTAGTGATCATTATGGAATATGTCCACTTCCTGAATCAAAGTGTTTAGAGAGCAGCCCCTTCATTATTCTACAAATAATTAATATTTGTCAATAACACATATCGCTTGCGTTCATATAGATTGTAGGTTGTTTTTTTTTTTTTTAAAGTTGTAGGCAAATTCATGTTGAGCATTGTTAGCATTTTCTAGTTCACCCTCGGCAGACCAGGACAGCACATGTCCTCACCAGCCACCAAGAAATTACATGCATCTCTAGCGCTAGTTATCTTAGTGTATGTATGTATCACCATGAAGTGGTGCTGTAATGATGTTGGGGGAACGGTCACATAAGTTACCTTTCAAACCCTTACTGTGATTAATTTTCAACTTTATTTCTCTGGTCCAGACTCCTTACCAATAAAACTGGTCAGGTCCATGATAGCACCACTTCAGATGATTACAACCCACTACACTGAAGCAGATATTCATTTCATAGCTGGAAAGCAGCCATTTGGAACTTTCAGCAGACTTTTTTCTGGCATATACTGAAGCAGTTTGGCAGGTAAGTTCTGCAGCCAGTTGGTTTCCATTCAGGTAACAGCCATAAGCCCACAAACCCGCAATAACCCACCACCATTTATTTAGATGTTTGTACCTTTAACCCTTCTATGTTTCCATTCCCCATCCTTTTCTTCACTTACATGCTCAGTATTTGAGAGGACGCAAGTGAAACCAAATTCATCTGTGAGCATAAAATGTGTTTCCTTTTTAGCAGGTTATAGACAGACCTTCTATCATAAGCACTTTAATTGCATCGCATACCTTTTTGAAAATCTAAAGCCTTTTCTCTGCTTTGTCGGGGCTGGAGCTAAAATGGAATCTCCTACAAGTGCATGTCACACAAAAGTGAATTCACAAATTTGCAGTATACATTGCAGCAGTAACGTTAAGCAGATATACTTAGCGTTTCCAATACTAATGCAATACAAACGGACACCAACTTTTGCTTAATAACCCGTGAACTGTGCGGAATTAAAAACTCAATTGCAAAATTATGAGCCTTGCTTTTCAATTCACAGTTAAGTAGACAATTTAAAAATCAAGAAAGACACAAATGAAAAGTGTACCACTTCAAATTCCCAAGGACTTTCTTCTGCTAGGATGACCTAGTGTCATAATTGTCATGCCTTAAATGATTAAATAACCCCCTCATCATTCAACTCATTTAAATATAGAATTGATTTGCAACCTAAACTGCACACTGGTAGTTTTCCAATGCAGCTACCTAAACTTAGCCTGTGTCAGTGGGTCAACGAAAACACATGTGAAAGCAAAACTCTACAGGGGTGTGAAAATGTGGCTTTCTGGCTGGCATTGAATAAGGGGCAATGCAGTACAGATTCAGCCATCGGGCCAAGTTTGAACAAACCTGGTAAAGCCACAAAAAATTAAGGCATTTCAAAATAACTAGAACAACTACAGCTTCATGTAGTTGTTCTGGTGTCTACAGCCTTTCCCTGTAGGATGTTCAATGCAAACACGGTCTTTTCAGAGTAACCCCTCTAGTGGCCATAACTCAGGGAGAACCAACGTTCACTGTCTCCACGCTCAGCACATGTTGATACATTGCATCTCTATAAGGAGATACTGATTGGTGCAGCGCCTATGGGAAAGCATTGGATTGGCTGAGATCAAGTTTGTTTTTAAAACTATAGTGACAGGAAAACATGTTTGTATTCATGTGACTACATTGTTCTTTCAATGTTTAAAAATGAATGCAGTTTCACATGAAGGCTTCCAATCTCAATGTGTGGATGTCTCAAACTATATTGTGTTAAATTCATTAGACTGTTTTGTTTTTTTTCTTTACGAATAATTTACATCAACATAAAATGGCATAAAAATATAGATTTTTAATGTGTGAATTCTCGGGTAAAATTAGGTGTATTTGTGGTAAGAAATGGGTATTTAAAATAATGATTAAAATGATAGACTAAAATGTGTACAACTTGTTCTACAGCTAGTTAAGTTAAAAACCAAAATATTGAAAACTTCAGCAAAACATATTTCTAGAACTTTATACATTGAGAATTATCAAGAACACATTTTAAAACAAAAGTTTATAGTCATAACATTACATTAATGTGTCATGAACAACACAAGACTGGTGAAAAAAAATGTTTTTACAGCAACACAACACTTCAGAGTGAGTTTGCAGTCATTTAAGAAATGCACGTTTCAGGCGGCTTATTTAGAGCAGGGAGTTTGCTATCAACAGTCTTCTCTTGGGTTGGCACTTTCCGTTTGAATAAACGCAGGCTTAACCTTAGCAGTTCACTGTCCATTACTGGAGGATTTGAGTAAGTCTGTTTCACAGTGCCCTGGACGGAGAGGAGAGACAGAAACCAAAACCAACGTGTTAATAAATCAGCACTACATTCTGCAAAATGGGTTTGACAAATTTGGTCTGGTTATATAGTGAATATCGCACAATCCAGGAATGCAACATCACTTGACAACATGATACACTAACACTTACTTTATCATTCTGAACAAGCTGTTTGCGAATTGCAAAGTCTCTTCGAGAGCAGAGAGCTTTACAACATGGTCCAAGATTACTAAGTAAACCGGCTCTTTCCTGCCTCCTCAGCAAAGCAGCCATATTTAGAGCTCCAAGATCATGTTTAAACAAGGCCTCGGCATCTAAACAAGTCAGTCCAAAAGATAATCAGTTAGTTCACATTTGTATATAATTTTTTTTTATTCTGAAAAGAGGTACATGGGAAACATGGTATCAAAATGATAAGAAGCTATTTTCTTCGACTTGTGGCAAACTAATCTAAATTATATAAATATCAAACTTAATGACTGGTATAAAGGTAACCAAGGCATTTTAATGTTTTGATTTTTAATAAAACAGGAGGCCCACTGATATAAATTCACTGACAGTGGAATTAAAATATATTAATATATTTCGAAAAATGTTCCTATGAATATTTTTTTATTTTATTTTTTTTTAATATACATGTTGACGAAAATGTTTCAGTATCTTATTTCCAATCACTCTTACATAACTTGTGTGGTTAAAGTAAGTTACACAAAAATACCGTATATACTCGAGTATAAGCAGAGTTTTTCAGCACACTTTTTGTGCTGAAAAACCCCAACTCGGCTTATACTCGAGTCAGTCTGTATTATGGCAATTTACATTGCCATAATACAGACTGGGGGCTGGCAGAGCTGTTACTTACCTCTCCTGCAGCTCCTGTCAGCTCCCTCCTCCTCCGCGCCGGTCCGTGCAGCACCTCAGTCAGCTCCCAGTGTAAGTCTCGCGAGAGCCGCGGGGTCATAGTGCGGCTCTCGCGAGACTTACAGTGTGAGCTGACAGAAGAGCTGCACAGACCGGCGCGGAGGAGGAGAGAGCTGACAGGAGCTGCAGGAGAGGTAAGTAACAGCTCTGCCAGCCTCCCTCCTCCCCTCACTGAACTGCCAATGCCACTGGACCACCAGGGAAGGAGAGCCCCCCTCCCTGCCATGTATCAAGCAGGGAGGGGGGACAAAAAAATAAATAAATTAATAATAAATAATAAAAAATAATAAACAAAATAATAATATAACAAAAAAATGAACTAAAAACTAAATTAAATAAAGAGAAACTGCTATGTTTATAATAGGGTTAATCCAGCCTCTAGTGGCTGTCTCATTGACAGCCGCTAGAGGGCTTCCGCGCTTCTCACTGTGATTTTCACAGTGAGAAGACGCCAGCGTCCATAGGAAAGCATTGTGAATGCTTTCCTATGGACTGGCTGAATGCGCGCACGGCTCTTGCCGCGCATGTGCATTCAGCCGGTGAGAGCGCCCTGCCCGGCACTGGAGAAAGAGGTAAGTTTAACCCCTTCCTCCCCCTCCAGAGCCCAGCGGGAGGGGGTCCCTGAGGGTGGGGGCAAGATACATCAGAACAAGTCCTCATATTTATGGATTGATTTGGTGCTAGGTCTCCTTTAAGGAGGAATAGCAGGCCCCAAATTCAAGTAGCTTCATCCATGGTGCACAAAAACTGCACACTCATTGAATGTTAACATGTTCTACTATTGTTGGCTAACCTCCCCTCCATTTGTTTTCAGTACGATTGATCAATACATCAGTAGCCAAATATACACAAAGTGTAATACAGAGGAGGATAAGAGATTGCAAGATAAATGTAAAATTATTGTTAACATTCCTAGTGATATTAATTTATGACAACAGACCTGTGTATCCAGCAGTATACATTAACAATCACCAGAGGATGATGGAGATCAGGGGTGCCCAGCATGTAGATATCCAGATTTTTTTAACATTACAACTTCCATGATGTTTGTCATCCTAATGGCATTATGAAGGCATGCAAATCATCAGGTGAGTTGTGGTTCTGCAACATCTGGGGAGCTACCTTTTGGGAACCCCTGATGGAGATTCTCAAGAAATTACAATTCAATATTTTGATATATAAAAATTTATGTAAAGAAGTAAGATGTGAAGAAAATATAGAATTTATTTACCTTTAGGCTTGTCCAAAGATTGCAGACAGGTTTCTTTAACTTTGCTGAAGAGGGAAGGCCCTGCCAAACGTTTGGAAATACCAACACGCAGTAATACCGCACCAGGAGTAAATTTTAAGAGTGCAGCACCAGATTCTCTAGGTTCTTTTGTCTGCTTTGGCATCAGGCTGGACCAGTCCACAGCAATTACATCTAAATGATCTAAACAAAGATATTTTCTATCTTACTTTTCTCAATAGATACTCAATAGAAAAATAAAGTATTACATTTGCTTTGTAAATCTATACATTTACTTATTGGTTTAGTGGGGGGAGGGGGGAGAGAGAATGACGTATTCAATGTCATATCCTCAAATATCTGCTTGAAAAGAAAAAAATAAGGTTGGGGTTGTAAGTGTTGTAAGAGCAGAGAATTAGGCAATGGACATTGAAGCAGTGAGAGCAAATATAAAGTGGTATCTGCAATCTTTTCCTAGAAATGTGAGCTCCACGCAAGGACCAAGGGGAAAAGTAGCTTCAGGGCAGAAGCAAAGTTGCTTGTTAAGAACGTTGCTGTAAAGTGTGCAATTATACAGCTGCCACTGTAATAGCATATCACCATTATTTTTAATTATATAGTTTGATACTGCCACACATGACATGTCCTGTTTTCATTACATATTTTATCATAATGTGGGCAGAAAGATAGCTAATAAAGGTTTATGGTTTTAGAATTGGTACTCTATACACTTTGTGCATGAGACTACTTTCAGTGCAACTTGACCATACGCCACAGTGCGGCATAAAATTAAAACAACATCAATCCATGTGCTTGCAAAATGGCTATCCAATGTAAAAAATACAATATTAGGTGATTAAGACTAGTCCTATATCTTGGATGACATTGTATCTCTGTCTAATTGAACCGCTGACAGCAAGGATTTGTTTGTAGTAATAAATGTTGTACTTACCAGATACCTTTTCATCATCTTGCTGTTCGTCCTTCTTTTCAGCATCATCTGCCAGAATCTCATCCAACTCATCATCACTGATTGGTTCATACTCTTCACCAGCTACAGAATCACCTGACTGAACATCGTCGAGCTTGGAATCATAGTCGCCACCTGTGCACACAATCAGTTGTTAGATATTGACAATTCACATAGAAAAATAAAAAAATAATTCAAACTATGACAAGACTACAAGAATCGGGAAAACAATACAAAAAAAAAAAAATGAACTTAAAGTGACACGTCAGCTCAAGTAAAAGTGGGTTTCCATAGTCAAATAGATGATGGTATCAATGGAGCCATGTAAAGAATTGAGGCAAATTCAGAGTCATCAATGGCAACTAATTTGATTTAAGAGTCTCTTGTGAATGTCAGGCGATAATCTGGATTATTCTCGCAAAATTGGCATATATACACACAACGTAAGGAAGACCTTAAGACTTTATAGGCACCCAGACCACTTCAGCTGTCACACTTAGTCCTGCTATGTAAAACATTGCAGTTTTAGAGAAACTGGAATGTCTACAATGCAGTACAAAGACAGTCACTAGAGGTGCTTCCTGCTTGCTAGGCAACTAGGTGTTAGGCTCTGCATGAGGATTAAATGCTTTCCTATGGGGAGGGCCCCAATGAGCACTCGGCATATGTGCATTAGCCTACTTCAGAGAAGGCGGAGCACTGAGGGACAGTGACGCTGGATTCAGGTAAGTTAATAAAGGGTTTTTAACCCTTTATTTACTGGAGGAAGGGGCTGTGAGGGAGGCACTGGTTTCTGTGTGAGAAGCTGCAGCATGAGAGGGAGCTCTCCCTCATATTTCAATCACACAGTACAGAGGACTTACAGTACCCTCTGTACTGTGTGAACAAGGAAATTCCTCTGCTGATGTCAGTATGGAGGTCATCACATAGAATACCTTAAAAGGCGATATTAGGACTAGGATTAGGACCAGGATTATAGGGAGGATTAGGGTAAAGGGAACACATGTGGGGTATTATTGAACTCGAAAATAGTAGCAGTATTGGGACACGTGTGATCTGTACATCCCAAGATAAAAAGTGGGGGGGTGGAGGGGCCCAAAACATAAAAATTAACTAATTTGACATAGGTTTGTGATTAAATGAAAAGTGTCAAAATGCCCTTTCATTTCATAGCCTGGGAGATGTACTTTCTATAAATAAATACTTTTGTGTAGCGGTTTTGTATTCTGTGACTACTATAAAGAATTGTAATCCCAGCGTGCCAAATTTTGCACAGTTTTAGCTATAAAACTGTAATTCACTATTTGCAGTATATGTTTTATAAATTCTAAAAATGTATTGAAATCCTAGACGTATTAAGCATTTTAACAATCAGGACAATGAATCTGAGTTAGTTTTATGTACGTCCACTAAGTGTGCAGAAATGATTGCATGTAAAACTGAAGAAATTGGTATTTTCTATTTTTGTCTGGTTTATTTTTTTTTATATTTTCCTTCATATTTAATATTGTGTTATGTATACATATAGGGTACTATTAGAAAGCACTTTAAGGGTGCACTTAAACAGAAAGGGAGAAATTGTGGTGGGATTAATGCATGGCAAAAACGCTAAGGCCTTAGTCACAAACGCGTTGCATTTCAAAAAAGCTTTAGTCCTTAAGTAGTTAAACACAAACAAAACCACATTCTTACCATCAAAACTTTCAGCTTTATCTACTTTACGACTCAGAGCAAAGCTATGCATGTTTTCTGCTTCCTTTTCTATTCTTTCTACAAGTGGTGGGATACGGCCACCAGCATCATAGGACTTTTCATTATCTCTCTCTTTTGGGTCTCGTTTTTGCTCAACTACCATTGAAGGAACATCAAGAAGACGAACTCTTTCTTTCTCTATGGGATCAGGAACCACTTTGTCGCGTTCCCTATCCATCTCTCTCCTTCTGTCTCTTTCCCTCTCTCGCTCTCTGTTTCTTGACCTTTCTTTGTCAGCTTCTCTCTCCCAATCCCTGGCTCTTCCATCTCTCCTTTCCCGTTCTCTTTCTCTGTCCTTCTCACGCTCTCTTTCCCGATCATGTTCATAACGTTCTCGATCAGGTGCCCTTTCCCGGCTGTCAAAAGATCCAGATCTAGAATGCACTTGACGATCTGATTCAGGAGAACTCCTTCGGGAACTGTGACTTCTTGAATCTCGGCGATCTATTAAATAGTTTAACTCATATATTAGCAGCAACAAAAAAAATAAAAAAAAAATAAAACATTTTAGAAAGCAACTTCAAAACTGCTTTGCAGAGTTTCCGCTGGCTATTAAAGACATCTTGCACCATGCTTCCTTGCATGCCTTGGAAATACACTCTTATTACTTATAAGTAATTACTTATAAAACATGTTAGGAATCGATAGGCATCTTTCTAATGTTCAGTGTTAAATAATTTTCAAAACAGTTAAACCCACATTGCGGCATCCAGCAGCTGACAGGTTGAGATGGTCAACTGAGCCCATCACTGGTATGTATTAGTATTTAATAACAGTTACACTCTGCATTAGCCAACCATACACTGGAGGTCAGTACCACTGGCAGCCAGGGACCTTCATACAGTGTAAAATGGATTGAAATTGGTTTCACATTGAACAGTAGGATGGCACCATTAGGACTCCTTGCACCATAACTACTTTAATTAAATTAAGTGATTATAGGATAAAAATCACTTGAGCACTAACAGGTTTATAAATGTACTATGGACCGCTAAACTATTTGCTAAGCATAACAATGAAATAGGTCTCAAACTATTGGCTTTAAATAGCCATGGTACTGATGGTATACACTTGTACTAGCATGCACAGCATATTTAGTAGAAAGCACTAGCACCAATCAGTACCGTAGAATCAATTTGGCACATTTCACTGTTTAGTAAATAAGCCCAATTTCTTACATGAAAGAGTCAGGAGTTGAGAAAAAAAATTACAGCATATTGAAAACAGTCACTGTACAACAACAAACTGTAACTTCAAGTACCTGAAGAAGTGCTGCGACTAGGTTCTCCTCTTTTCAGCTGATCAATTCGAGATTTGCGTTCACCAGTAGGTTCAATACTTTTATTCCTCTCTCGATCTCTAGAACTGCCATGCAATAATCTTCTCTTAGCAGTCTGATCCTCTCCACGGTGAACAGAATCAATAGATGGTGACCGCAGACGGCTAGATGTACGGCTCTGATTACTGCAGATGCTGCTGCTACGTTTCTGCTCAGCAGGCTTTCGTGGTGGAGGTTCTTCTACAACTGCTGGTCGAAGCTCTTCCTTTTCTACTTTGCTCTTTGGAGGCTTTTTAATAACCTCTTCTGCAACTCTCTCTGGAACTATGAGTTCTCCTCTTTCAGGAACATCTTCATCAGACCAATCACTGAATGTAGTTTCCTTTTCTTTTTCAGGTTCAACCATTTTCTCTGGCAACACCTCGGCAATCTCTTCTTTCACAGGTGGTACAACAACAGGAGCCACTATTACTGGAGGAGTCCTTGGGCCTTTCTTTTTCTTACTATGTGGAACTATGGCTTCCTCATCAGAAACGTCAGAATCACCTTTAGATTTCTTTCGCTTTTTGTCTACATTTTTCTTTTTCTGGCTTTTCTTAGGTGAAAAGACTGGAATGTCTTCAGGCTGAGGCTCAGGAGCAATTTTTTCTGGGATAATTTCTTCATCTTTCTTCTTCTTCGCAGCTTTTTTCTGCATTTTGGTTTTCTTCACCTTCTCATCATGAATCTTCTCTGGAACCTCTCGTTCTTCTGGTTTGTGTTGAACTACTATATCCACTTCTTTTGCCTTTGAAATTTCAGCAACTTCCACCACATGCTCTCGTTGTTTCTCCAATGTGGCTGTTCTCTCTTTTGTCTCTGGCTCTTCATACCGTCTGACTATTTCCTTTCGGTCTGGTTTCCGCTCTTCCTCTTTCCATCGGGATGGCCGTTCTTCAGCAACATGGGTTGGACTTAGGGAACGAGAATCTTGAGGTCGGACTACTTGGCTTAGCAGTCTGTGCTTTTCATCTGCATAAAACATTAAAGATATTTAGCAATACAAATAATTAATATACAAATGTTGCATATATGCAGTTATATCCAATAAACCAAAAAGTGATCATCCATAATGCACTGTTTAACACCTTCACACTGGGATTTATGCATACACTATTCCCAGGGTATGCCTCCTAACTCTGGAACCAATTTAATTTGCAATTTGCACCATAACTTCAGTCAGAGAGAGCTCACAGTGCAGTGAGCCTATGAAAGCTGAATACAGATACTACCTCTTTGTATACCGTGCTGCTCAAGCTGATTAGCACCATACTGGCTTATTAAACTGTGAATGGCCGATAAAATCTTCCCCTCTCAATACCTCAAACATGTGAATCTGTGGCTATAAATTTATTTGGATTTGTGCCTGTGTGTGTTGGCATGTCTTTGTGTGTGTCGGTCAGTGAATTTGCATGTGCAAGGAGGCAATGTTACAGTAGTTGAGAATTACACACACACACAACATGGATACATATTGAACAATATATACAGGGAAATAAGAGAGTCCAATGTAAGAGAATTACTGGAATATGTGGGAAAGTGACAAGTGTACATAAAGAAAAGTTATAAGACTGTTTTCTCATTTAAAATTTTCCATTAAATAATGTTCTGTTTATGTATAACGGAAAATACATTTAAACATTACTTTCTAAAGCACCCAACATAATCCGATTCTAAAGGTGTTTTTTTTACAAACCGCTTGGTTGTGAAGGGGTTATGCGCCTTATGGTCTTAATCAAGTTTTGTCCTTTGTGATCCAAATAAACTTTTTCAATGTCACTTATTCCATGAAGTCTATATATTCTATTGGTTCACACAGATACATTAAGGGTTGCAGCCCCTTAGGTGCTATAGTTTGGCCTTTGTTCCTGTCAGCTGTATCCCACTACTATTGATGTTACTTGATCGAGAGAGTTGAACAAGCCTGAAAAAACAATCCTTTAACTGGGGCTACAAGTTTTGATTATTCAAACATGTATGAAGTGCATTTTAGTTAGAGTTGTCTAAGCCCTACACAGTAATTACCCTCCTGAAAGCATGACTGTAGAAAGGGAACAATCAAATATTTGACAACTGTCGATAACTGCAGTCTAACTCATCTAAAAGTACATTTACATTAATCAAAAGTGCATAAAAAGTTACTTGTATGTTATGCCATAAGAATGTTTATAAATGGCTTGGTAGGCAAGATTTGAATAATACATTTCAAATTAGGCTCATAAGCATAATAAGCTCTAGGGCAGCTACTGGGAATATGATCTAATTAGTTTCCTTACTCTCTTCAAACAACTCCACCAACAACCTTCAGTTAAAGTTGGATTACATAAAACATTTACACTGCATTCCTTTTGATGCCCTCCAGCTTGAACACAATCTCTCCCTGCTGATCAGTGGCTAATTTCTGAAGTATTAAAATATATATAAAAAAAAAAAAAAAATCGATCGTTATTTAAAATGCTAATAGGAAAGTGATCTTAGATTATACAATCCATTCAGCGAGTATCATGACTTTCTACAAAGGAATGCAAAGTTTATATAAAATATGTTTTGAATGAAAACTGTCCACTGTAGCGACACTTTGTCCTTGAATGCCACCATTTATGAGATCATTGGTCAAGAGCACACGCTTAACCAACCAAAGATCATTTTGCATAGCCCGGCAGCACATTCACATTGCAATGACATCAGCCATCATCACCAGACAAAGCAGTGTGATCTTCATTGGGGTAAGTACATACTTTCAAGTGACAATCAGTTTAAATGGGAATTCCTAGAGAGAACACTGTGGGAGATGACAGGTTTCATTTAAGCTTTTGCTGTTATATTTATATGACAGTACATTAATGTTCAATTATTTATGTAAATATTATGTAACTTGCCTGCTTTGCCTTTTACTGCTGCAAGAAGCCCTGTGTTTTAGAGAAAATGGGATTAGGATAGAAATGCACTCAACTGAGCTAGAACATATAAAATATACAACAAGGTGTCTATGGTAAACTGAAAACAAAGTATCAATGCAACACTAACAAGTAGGTAAAATACTTTTTACCTGATCAAAACTTACATATATATTAGCACCCCGTAACAACAAAAAAATACATGATAGATTTATATATAATTATAGTATGACTCTGATGGATTGCATTAAACTGAAAGGGTGAATTTGTCTGGAGGTTTAAGCTTATACAGTTGGTGCATTAACCAGCTATGTCACCTCACCCCAGAAGCTCTGGTCCTTTACATTGAGGAAAATCATAGGTATAGGAGAACTATGAGGAATGCTTTACTCTGCATTCATGGGACTTTTGGAGAATCGGGATACAGGAAGGATTCATTTTATTTCCATGTGTATGTCAGCTACATGGTAACATTACGGTCTCATTAAAACCATTGCAATAGAATATTCAGTAGAAGGTACTGTAGCATGAATTTTACGTGTATTAAAGACATAGAAAACAAAGTGACATAGGATTATAAAATGCATGCTATTCTACTTGGAAGTTCAGTTTCATACACTAATGTCCTCCATCTTTATTACATTACGAATAGTGTCTGTGTCTACAGGACAAATACAAGAAGAGTTTTCCTTGAGGCCTCGAAGAACACCTACTGTGCAGGCTTTCAGGATCATGTTAACCAAGTAGCTGAGCATTTTCTTACAAGAGCTTCAGTGAGTATTTCTTGGAATCTGAATTCTTTGATGTCCCTGAGCATTAGACATGAAGATCGATTCACTTGATTGAACTACAAGGAATCTGCGTTTCATGTAACACAGTGAAAGCGTGACATCAGATCTAGGAATCACTGACTGAAATAGTCAAATACATTTGAGAGATTCTAAACCATACATCTTGCAGCTGTTCTACTTTCCAGGTTTAATATAATAATTAAATTCACCAGAATTCAATTACAGGGGAAACGTTACTATCACTTACAGGTGGCTGAAAGTGCTGTATGAAAAGGTTCAGCCAGTGCAGCCTCATCTTACTAGACATGAAGGACAAGAATTGCATTGAATAAGGGAAATGTATTACTAAAACTGAATCACATTTCAGAGCGTTCTATGACGGGTACATTATGAAAATCACAGTTGTTGGCAATATGAACAAAGCCAGAAATACCAAAACAAAGTGTTAGAACTGACCTGCTTAAATTACAAAGCAAGATGTACTGTGAAACCCAAGTTGTCGCTGTTCCTTTAAATGGATGCTAGGCAACAATCTTGTGATTGAGAAAAATCTATCAATATACTAAATTTCAGAAATTATCATTTAAACAATTCCCACATGAAATGTACGACAGCCTGGGGGCTTAGAGTGAGAAATGACCTCTGTATAAATTGGTGCTGTGGCAGCTGCCTTAAACGGTGACTGCATGACAGTAGCTGCTCTACTGCTCCAATTAAGGTTGCAGTTGCACATGCAGTTGACTATAGTGAAAATATAAATGTATTTATTTTTTTCAACTTAGCTTTAAAAACGGCAATAGTATTAATACTCACGTTTTTCATCACCACTGTTGTAAGCATCACTTTCAGGGGAGTGGTCTCTGCGACGTTTGGGAGATTGGCGTGGGCTTGGACTGCTTTCATTTCTGTGCCTCTTCCTAGTGTGTGAAGTTAATAAAAAAAATGTAAACTTAAAAGATTTTAAAATTTCATAAGTTATTGTTACCGCAAATTTCAAATATATAAATAGCCAAAGATGATTCAGAAGAGACACAAGCCACAAACAATTTAAATGTTAAAAAGCGTTAGGAAGAACTGTGGAATAAAGTGGGCTTATTTTAAACTAGCAAGGTTCATCAATAGAAAAAAAAACTAAAAAAACTAAGACCTCGATTAAAAGAAAATAATTATATTGTGGAGGACTACAAAAGGTCTGCATGTCCTCGCTGTGAAAACAAAAATAAGTCTCTTCTGGAACATAAATGAAGGAAAAAGCAATGAAACGAGAAAGACAGGATGTTTTTAAAGACGTGATTTCACTTTATGAAGTATAACGTTACCTCTGTACACTTGGTTAACCAGCTTGCTACTGAAATTATCACTCAACCAAGCAAGGTGGGCATTTGGAATTTACGATTGCCACATAAAAATAAACCATCAGAAAAGCATCTAAATATACCAACATTTACCTCCAGATCAGGGTCAGACCACTATACTGGTCCTCATAGAAATTCACATATATTTATCCAACTAAGGGTAACGCTTATACCCATACCAGTTACTTTTACTATTGTGTAATATACAGTAACATTATATGTATTAATTTTGCTACACAAAATTGAAAGGAACACTAGAAAAATGTCAGGAGCACAAACATGTATTCCTGACAATATAGCGGTAAAATCACTGTTTAGGTGACAGGCCCCCTTCCTTCCTTTCTTTTACTCACTTTATTTCCCACGCTGCATCAGTCTCCCTCCACCAGCATAGGAAAGCATTATGAGGCTATTGTACATGCGAAACAAAATACTACTGCGCAAATCCACATCTCCTCATAGAGATGCATTGAATCAATGCATCTCCATGGAGAACTGCCACTGGAGGTGTTACTAGGCAGTAATGTAAATACGGTCTCTTTGAAAAAACAGTGTTTAAATGAAAAGGCCTACAGGGACATACTATAGACATCAGAATCACTACATAAAGCTGTAGTGGTACTGCTGACTATAGTGTCCCTTTAAGAGTCAAGTGTTTTCTCTCTCACCCCGGAACTACCCAGAGAGGACGGCCATCTCTAACTTACTACCGTTCCAGGCAGGAATGTAGTGATGTCGCAGCTATCCCCTCCCCCCCCCTTTCCACCTATATACTCACCCTCACTTTCACCCCCACCCCTCCTCAAACGTTTACCCCCTGTTGAAGTTGTCAAGTTGTTGTAATTCATATGCATGTGTTAAAAGCAGGTGTAATACACAGGCAGCACAAAACCTGGTGCTTAGCATTATATGCCAACCGTCACTATCCACATTGTATAACGCTGCTATATACTCTGTAATGATTATGTATTTCTTGTACATCTGCACTGAAAATTATAAATATATAAAAAAATAAGTATTTTAAGGATATTTCTCAAAGAGTTTGCAGAGCTGTTCCAACATTTAGGTAATTGAAGGTTTTACAATAATGAAGAAAACCTTCATATCTACAAGTATTTAATTTATTTTACACATTTACTTTAAATGAAAGTAGAACCAGTTGATCACACATATTTGTGCATGACATCAATAAGCTAATGTCATATTTTATTTATTTTATGATCAAAACAAAATACTGCTCTATTTATCTTTTTAATCAACTAAAGCACAGTTGGTTCTACTTTGGTGCAACTAATTAGGATTTATTTTATAAGGATTAAAAAAGTTACTAAGTAACTATCATTGCTGTATTTTCCAATATAATCTAATTATATTAAGGATTATGCGCTACAATAGTACTGCAGAAAAATGGGATACTCACTTAACCTTTCTTTCTTCGTGAACTTCTTTTAGATTCCTCTCTTCACGCACATCCTCCCTTTTATCTCTACGCTCTTCTCTTACTTTGTCCTTGTCCTCCCATTCCCTTGGGCGATCTCGTTCCCTCTCTCGGACACGTTCTCGCTCACGCTCCCTTTCCCTCTCTCTTTCACGCTCCCGTTCTCTTTCACGCTCCCGTTCTCGCTCCCTTTCTTTTTCTTTTTCGCGTTCTCGTTCTTCTCGTTCTCTCTCCCGCTCTTTTTCTCGCTCTCGCTCTCTATCCTTTTCCCTTTCCCTTTCACGCTCACGGATTCGTTCTCTCTCAGTTTCTCGTTCTTTCTCCCTCTCCCTCTCCCTCTGCTCTCGTTCCCTCTCTCTCTCTCTGGGTCTATCATCCCTCCTTTCATCTGTGCGGTCTACTCTGCGCTCATCTCTTCTTTCATCTCGGTCAACATCATCACTCCTTCCTAGATGCCGTGCTGGGGAGGCTGGCCTTTGATCTGTCAATGATGAGGGGGGGAAAAAAAATATATAAATTTAAATGTGGTTTGCTGATTGCAATCAAATAATGTTCTGAAAATATAGGCTACATAAATGAAAAGCAAAAGATGAACTTTTAAAAGTGTGATGAGAAATTGAATTTCCATTTCATTCATAATCATCTTGAATAGCAGCAGGAATAAAGAAGTCTTAATTATGCACAAGACAAGAATATGTTATTTCAACGGTAATTATCAAGATTCAATTTCCATTCAGTTAGGTTATTTTGCGCAAGCATATTTCTACCAAAAGGTCTTCTCAAGACCACCTATCGTACTTTATAACAGTAAATACAGCAGAAATAACTTTCACCAAAAATATTTTAACAGTTGTAATTATGACTATATTTACCAAGGACAACATTAATACTGCAGATAGTACATGCTCCAAGATTGCTTACACAGATAATACCCAATTACAGGGCTCAACCAATTCAAGACAACTCCGAAATGGAATGTAGCATTAATAATTTGCCTGTTTGCTATTCAGGATGGATCAATAAAATAAACTGCCTAGTTCCCAGAGGATGCAAAGGAGCAGACTTTGGTAACAGAGACGTATGCAATCCTCTTTGTATTAACGTGTTGCATCCTTAGCGCGACAGACAGCGAAAAGTGTGAAGGAAGCCAATCCAAACCTCATTTGGTTTTAGCAACAAACAACTAAACAAACAACAAACAACAAACAACAAACAAAATAAACTCCTGTACTGTCACTTTATTAATCATACTGGATGACCTCTCTCCATTCTGTTCTTGATCTTCGGTATTGCCACTCTCACATGATTATTGGAGTAACCAATTTACAATAGACAAATATTGCCATATTTGTCTATTGTAAATTGGTTACTCCAATGATCATAACCACTGAAGCCTACTTAAGTGGTTATGATGCCTGGAGTACCATGGCCTGGGAAGCCGGTAATGGGACAAACCATTTAACAGTTTGCCCTCTTACATGGGGCCCCATCAGGCTCAGATGATACCTTTAAGTGCTTCCGGCTTCTGCAGAGCCGTAGAAGCTGAAAGCAGCGACTGTCACCATTCATTGGGTAAGAACATCAGTTGACCGCTCTTAACCAATGACAGACGCAGTGTGCAATGAAAGTCGCACAGAACTGACATTGGACAGTCAGGCACCTTAACTACTTCACATCATTACTAGAGTGCTCAAAGCAACTTTTAAAGATCAACAAAAATTTTAGTAAATGAAAAAAAAAAATAAGTCCTTACTTTTGCCTCAGCCTCTAGATAAAAAAAATAAAATAAAAAATATGTAAGAACCACCATGAAGAAACAAACCGTCTCATTCCAACTTGTGCGATTCCTTTAAACCAAGTTTTGAAACAAAAGGGTTAATTAGGTGAACAGCTGCAAAATCCTAAAGTTTTTGTTCTTTCTTATTTTATCTTAAACAGTCTACCAAAAATACTATGGGTCAACCACTTCTGCTTACTTTTCATAAACAGTATTTTTGCAAGGGTTCTTTTTCTATTTTGCCTGTCATCTTTCAACTTCTTTTCTAAGTCTGTTGCTTTTTGTCCACGATCTCTATCAGATAAAGTACCCCAAGGCTCTATGTAGATCACTGTTCTGCAACCTTTTAACACCTGCGGCCTGGCGAAAATAGGAGAAATGTTTTGCGGACTGGCGCCAGCCAGAAATAAAACACAATGGTATGTGTGAAGAATGCGGTGTGTGTGTGGGGGGGTGCAAGGTTTGTGTGATTGAGTGCAAGGTATGTGTGAAGTTGTGTAGTGTGTGTGAGGAGTCTATATTGAGGAAGGGTGGGGGGGGTGATTTACTTAAAGGGGGAGGTGGGGGGTGATTTACTTAAAGGGGGGAGGTGATGGGAAAGCTTTATGCCCACCTTCTTACCTCTGGCCTCGAAAGAGGGGACAGATCACTGCAATGCCTGGTGGGCCAATGGTGGCGCGTGCACTTCAGCCTGCATCTCCTCCGGCTGCAGGCTAACCTCACTATTTTCTTCCCGTGAGCACAGCACTGTGTCGGAGTGTTGCCAGGGTAATGCGTAGCAAACCTTCCGACCTGCCTGTTCGCAGGAGGATAACAGCCTCCTGTGACCTCCTCCTGCCTTGCAGTCTCCCAGGTATTATCTCCCTCCCTCCCTCAAACTGCCAGGAGACCGGTGAGGGAGATCTTTGATCTCCCCACCGGCCTGAGAAAGGCAGACAGCAGGGCCGGCTCTCCATGGGCCGGACCAAATTATTTTGTGGTGAAAGCTTTCGCGGACCGGCAATAAATTCTTTCGGACCACCGGTTGAAGACCACTGATGTAGATAACCCTTTGTTTTCTTTTTTTTTTTTTTTCTCTCCCCTTATTAGATAGTCTCTTCAGCCACTCTACCTACTCTAAATACATGCCCATCAGCTTCTTAAAACCCACTCTCTAAAAGAGAGCAGATTACAAATCTAAACATTCTCATCCCAGGAACAATACTTGCATTTGTTCCTAACAAATCCATCTAAACGATGCGCTTGTCAATGCATTAATTTTTCATCTCAATACCTGCAACTCAATCTTTACTGTCTTTAGAAATGAGAAAGTGCCCTCCACCAAAGGCTGCTGCCAAGTCTTATCAGACTAACAATTACTCTTCTCACAAATCTCCCTTTTGTGAGTTTTATCAGTTTTCTGTATCCGTTAGAATTAAGCCTTCAAAGACCACATTCATTGCTCCTAAGAAACACTATAGTTACCAGAACAACTACAGCTTAATGTAGTTGTTCTGGCATTTACTGCCTGTTACACTTGTAGTGTCAGTCACTCAGATGGCCACTGGAAGTGCATTCTAGGTCAGTGCTGCACTGACATTCAGCGTCTTAACGCTCTGCAAGTGCTGAACATTCCTCATAGAGATGCCGATTGGTGCAACGAAGCGTTTTGATGCACAGTAGGAAAGCATTGGATATTGGATTGGCCAAGATCGACAAATTCAATAATTTCGGCCAGAGAGGTAGAGCAGGAGCGGGGCTAGCTGGGATGAGACCCCAAGCGGTGCAGGAATTAAGTTGCATAAACTCACCTCTTACTATTTTGACAGGGGATCTGGGGGCTAAACATCGCTATGAGAACTATAGTGTCAAGAATACATGTTTGTATTCCAAGCACTAGTGTTCCTTTAAGGATGCTAGTGCAAATAGCACAACTTACCTCTTTTTCTGTATTTATTGCCCTTTCATCTGTAATGTAATTACAAAACACTCCTTTTAGACCAAGTTCAATTTAGCAGGGCAATAGTCACATCTTGCTTCTATTTCCCTAACCTGATTCCCTATTTTAAAATTGTACAAATTACTTGCCTATTGTACCAAAGCTGCAGAACATGTGGGATCTTTCAAAATAATAGAAGCATGATGCAGATGTTTACTGATTAAAATTAATGATTAAAATGTGTTCTATGATTTCCATGGATTGTTTGAGAGTCTATGTATGGTTATCTACAGAACCTCATAATTGCACACTCCAAAAAGGACAGAAACTAAAACATTTTATCTTTTCAATAAAGTAAAAATAAAATTAATGTGGACAGGCTCTGTGCCATTAGCTTGATGATGATGCATTATCATCATGCATTATTAAACTTCAATTCCAACAAGAAGTATGTGCATCCAAACAAAATGGGAACAGCAAGTAAAATCCAATTTAATGCTGGTAATAAATGTTGCCCTATGCATTAATTAATGAGGGCTAAAATGCTTGCTCTTGGGAACAAAGAATAATAATTAAACACAGATTTTTATGTAGATTACTGTAGCATGGTATGAAAAGATGGGCTTTCAAATTTATAAGCAATAACAAATGAGTATTCTATTTGTAAAATAAAATTGCTCATAGCATATAGATCAATGTAAACTGTAGTTATATAGAACATAATATATGGCAATATTTCAGGGTTGGGCTGTTTGTTTTTTGTTTTTTAAAAATACACACACAAAACACCCTTTTTAAAATTTACTATCAGTAATCATATACACCAATATACAGTGTAGCACACAAGTACACTTGCATATCCTTCTACATAGATTTTTTTTGTGGACCCAGGACATACTTGAAAATGAGAGAAATCTCAATGTATCCATCCTGGTAATATATTTTATAAAATAAATATATAGATTCATAGGTTCTCACATACTTCACAGCTAATGAAGCAAGTCATGATAAAGCGGGTTCCAAATGTAAAGTTTATGTTACAAAATAGGCATGAATGTTACTCTTCACTGCTTATCTTGTAACAGAACAGCTGTGAATAGACAAGGCAGAGATATGCTCAGTCACACAAGCATAATCTAAAAAAATACAATTGATATCTTTTTAGCTATACATTGTCAGGTAATTTAGCTTGCACACTGTGTATACAATATTGTAACATGACTTACAACTTTAAATCGTGGTAAAGTTAAAGGGACACTCCAGGCACCCAGACCACTTCTGCCCATTGGAGTAGTCTGGGTGTAACTCCCACTACCCTTAACCCTGCAAGTGTAATTATTGCAGTTTTTTTATAAACTGCAAAAATTATCTTGCAGGGTTAACTCCACCTCTAGTGGTTGTCTATTAGACAGCCACTAGAGGGCACTTCCTTGTCCATAGCACAGAAAACCTGTGCTAGAGCGTCGCTGGACATCCTCACGCTGTGTGAGGACCTCCAGCATCGCTCAATTCCCCATATGAAAGCATTGAAAAGCATTTTCAATGCTTTCTTATGGAGAGCTCTAATGCGCATGCAAGATCAGTCTCGCACACCGATCGACGTAATGACTGGGAGGAGCAGCCGCGACTCGAAACCACCGCCATGGGACATCGGCGGGGGTCTCAGGTAAGTGACTGAAGGGGTTTTCACCCCTTCAGCAACCGGGCATTGGGAGGTGGGAGGGAGAGGAGACCTGAAGTGCCAGGAAAACGGCTTGTTTTCCTGGCACTGGAGGGTCCCTTTAAGGGACCAATGCATTATAACTTCACTATGATTGAGTAGCTGCAGTTATTAATTGCGCAGCCACTGTTATAAGTTCCTGCTTACAAACAGCATGGAGTGCAGGGGGTGGGGTAAATGGCACACTTCTCATGGATGAATTGCCAATGGCAATTTTGCGCTCTGATAAAGTCAAAGGTATCCCTTTTGAGAAGGATAATGTAATAAAACAAATATATACAATTGTACTGAATTCAACAGAATTTGCCAACCACTGAAACAGATAATGTGATTACATAATTGTGCTCTTATAGATGCCTAAAGCTATTATAGATTTTAACTGGGAACCAATAGACAAAACGTCAAAGTGAGAATAACATTTTAAATTACATATTCAGTAACTTGTTTGCCAAATAAAAGGGGACGATTAAAGGGTCATTGCAATCAAGATTAGTCAACAGACTGTTCTAAGGGCACTATCTCAAAATAAAGAGGAGGAAAATTTCAGGGAACAGGAGTCATTGATTAATTGTAAGTGAAAGTCAATAGTTTATACAAGCGCATTACTCATATTATACTAGAATAGGTTATGGCCTGACCTCTTTCTCGTTCTCGACGTTCACGATCCCCATGTCTGCGATCAAATGATGAGTCCCTTCCCTGTTCTCTGCCATCAAACCGTTCTCTTTCTGCATAGCCACTGCGAGAGTCCCAGTTGTCATGATAGCTACTACCGCTGTGGCTATCAGCCTGAGAGCTTCTTGCTCCTCTGGCAGCTGTAAGGAGAAAAATAATATGAACAAAATGGGAACAGCTGTCTTTAACTGGCACCAGCAATTTTCTGTGAATAGTTATTAAGAAAAATACATATTAATTTCAAATAAAACAGTTGTTTGTGAGGAACACAGGTTAATAGAAAAGTGAATTGCGGTAGAAGTGTGAGAAGCTCATTAATATGCACAATGGTAGAAACAGAAAAAAGTGGGCAACATTTTAGTAGGAAAATTAAGGTGGCCTAAACCATTGTCTTTTAATTGCTATGGATTATAAATACCACTTTACATTATATGTAATTTATTTAATGGTTAAAAGAAGAGAAATGGGGGAAAGGGTAATACTTTAAATAGGTACTGGAACACCTTAAATTACAGTAGCAGCAAGAGTACAGTCATTAGATTTCTAGGCCCAGCCATTTCAGATGCATTGAAAAGGGGGGGGGGAGGGGAGTCATGTGACTCCTCTTTTCAAAGAGAACCATTAGAGACTAGAAGCGAATGCGCGGCAAAATTAAATGCTGTTCGACAATCGTCACAGGACTGAGTCTGTGCTAGAATCGGAATCACCATCTACTGGCTGTAAAGATGGCTCCCAGTGGCTACCATGAAAACATTGTCATTGGAGATTCAACTTTGGAAACAACTTTGTTTTCCTGTCACTATAGTTTTTCTTTAAAGCATACATATGAAGGCCGTAACAATTTCAACTTGCACTACTAAGATTTTGGTACAGCTGCATATTGATTAGAACATTTAATATCTATATACCTTTTTCAGAAACATCAGCAGCACGTCCTCTTGCCCTGCCATTACGATCATTTCTGTTTTCACTCCTGGACTCATTTCGGTTATCACCTCTTGAATCAGCACGAGCAGCCTCTTCTCTGCCATGACTACTTCTGTAGCTGCGGTCATCATAGGACTCCTCCTTGCGGTGGTTTTCCCGGTCTCTGTAATCATGGGTGTCACGAGCAGAACGTGAATCTTTCGGATCACGGCTTTCTTTACCATCTCTATAGTCTCGAGTGTCTCTAGTCTCACGACCATCCCTGGAATCCCTGGGGTCTTTTCGATCTCGATTATCTCTTATTTCCCTGCGCTCACGACCTTCACGAGTTTCCCGTTCTTCTCTATGATCTCTAGAGCCACTTGGTTCCCGATCGTGATCTCTGTCATCTCTTTCTTTGTCTTTTCTACCTCTGACATCTGAAGGAACACAGGATTTATATTTAACTTTTGGACTTCAATAAAAGATAAAATCATAATGGCAGACACAAAATAAAAGGACACAATGTCATAATGAGCAGTGACACAAAATCACATCATAATGCAATGTCAATGAGCCTCATTTCTTCCATGTTGGTACTTCACTGGTTTAATAACTAAACGTATACCACCACATTCAAAATGCTAGACAATACGGAACTACATACGTAAAGTCTATTTATATAATCAATGTCAATTTAAAAAAAAAAAAAAATATATAGAAAATACTGCATAAAACTGAGAGGAAGACCTGAAGATTTGGCAAACGCCCCTGAAAGTGACAACTCCGGTGATGTGTGGTGGCCCTGCGGTGCAGAGGAATGTTGTAACAATACCACTCTTGTGGCCGCTGTCGTCTCCGCTCTGCGCATCCTCTTCAGCTTCTGTCTTCATCTGTGAGAAGACACATCAGTGCAGTACTTTCGCGCATGCACGAGAGTACACCACAGAGGTCTAAGGAAGACCCATTAGACTCTCCATTTATCGTTGTCTGAATCCCAAAGCCATCAATTGTGACGTCTGCTGGGACTAGACTAAAGTTGATGGTGAAGCTCTGCTGTTTGTGAACCTCAGGTTTATCATAAATTAAAGCAGACTCAACTTTGGTTTTGTTGGAATTTCAATGAAAGTTTTCACCTTTAGGAAATGCTGAAAAGTGACAGTCGCTTTAAGTTTACACTAAATCACCATGAATATTTATGAATGTTATTGGTGTTTGGCAGTTGGTTAACCTGCTAAAAAGAAGAGCATTTCCATGATGATTGCACTATTTTTCAGACAACACTTTGATACTATCGTACTTAAGAAACAGATATTACCAATTAAACAATGTTTAGAGCAGATAGATGTGACTGGCTTTTCTTAGAACAAACATTTTTAAATACAAGTAACATTCAAACTTCACAAATGTATGAAATGTGACCACTATAGTGCCATAAAACAGTTTTACAGTAAAATAAACAGTATTTAAACTTAGATTGGAAAATAGAGAATGTCCATGGTCATGTGTTGATACTACTGCTTAAAGCAGCTCCGTCACGGTCTGGGATTTTTGCATAATTTGCAAAGACCCCCAAACAGTGACTGCCCCCTGGCAATGCAGTTGTCAAGGGGTGCAGGGAAGGGAACCTGTCACTTATGGCTGACACCATCCTCCCCAGCTCTTGGTGCTTTGGTTGCCACGAACAGACGAAGATGATGTACTCTCGAACACTGCAAAAGTACAACACTGAGGTCCATTAAAAGGTCCTGCGAAATCCTACACAGAAAGAACTTTTTTGCCTTCAGCCGTCACTAAAGCTAGGTAGCTCTTCCTTTTTTGTCAAGTGTAGCAAAAAACATAAGTTAGTCTAAACTTTGTCTCAGTAGATTTCAGTGAAATTCCAACACAATCAATGTGCATGTTTCAAGATTTTTTTTATCTCTAGGAAATATTGCATTTTGGATTGGGGGTGAGGGGAGGGAGAGATGTGTTAGAGCTGCTTTAATTACATTGGAGATAAACAAATAGAATTTCCAGATCTAGTGCATAATATCTAGATTCATGTTATGGCAGCTTTCACAGGTCATTTCGTTTACATTGAGAGTATATGCTAAATGGTGAGAAAATCTGGAAACACTTCAGATTGGAATCAATATATTTATCAGTGACATCCTTTCCTTACACTTATTTTTGAGGAAATCACATGATGGCACAGTTACAACTAATGCTAACTGCTCCTTGAGCCATCTTGAAAAGAGAAAACCTGGCTTTTTTTATATTTACATTTTTTGGTAAAATAAACATCACTTTAAAAACCACTTAATTTAAAAGCACCATTATAGTTGTCAGAAGAGGAACTTTTCTTATTAGCAACTCAAGTTTTTCCCTGTTAACGCCAGGCAGTCTTGACTTCCATATGCTACAGTACCAGTGTATTCTTACAAGGCGAGAAAACAGGCTTTCACAGAAGTTACCTACGGTCATTAGCATGTTTTCAAGTCCACATACAGTTAAATAGGTATCACGGTAGTAGATGCCCAATGTCAGCCCTAAATTGACTACAAATGAAAACGGAGGGCTTACAAGCCAGGAATTTTTAATGAGCGCCCATTTAACAGAGATAACAAAACTGAAGATACAAAACAGAGGACAAGCAAAGTGTGGTTAAGGCCTACGGATCCTTTCAGCCAACTTTATAAGCTAAAATGAATTAGAAAACGCCAATTTGGTACCCTTCTATTTGCCTTCAGTCACTGTTCATCAAAGGGTTACCTTGGTAATCCACTTCCACCATGTTCACTCACTGCCCTATGAACGTGCAGGTTGCTCTCAAGTTGGGGTTTATTCTGACAATAATGGTGAGTAAGCAATTTTTTTTTTTTTTTTTTAAATCTGATTTCATTTTGTCACCCTTATCATGTACACTAGCCATTACACAGTCAAAATCAATAAATTCATAGTTTTTGAGACAGAAACAAGCTTATAACACCACATCTCCACCCTTTTGACAACAATTAGCTTTGTGTTTATGTTGTAAATGAAGCATTGCACATAATAGAAATGTGTGCATACCATCCATCCGGTCGTGTCGTCTGTCCTGGGAACTAGAGGGTATCTCCCTCTCATGTCTGCCTTTTTCTCGGGCTGGAGAACGATGCTTAGATAGACTCCTCTTTCTATGAGGAGAGGAGGAACCATGTGTAGCATATGGAGAGGAAGAGCGTCTGGCTACAGGAGAAGATGCTCTCTGGTAGGCAGGGGAAGGTGATCTCCGATGACGAGGGGAAGGTGACTGTCTATGAACAGAGGATCCTGACTGAGAAGAAGGTGAGTGGTGTCTCGAAGACATGGGAGAATGATGCCTTCCATGGGGGGAAACAGACCTGAAGAGATAGGAAGAAACTTTGCTAAGATTTTATCTTTTTTTAAAAACATACCAAGATTACAACAAATGTAATTCCCTGTTTTACTACCAGACAAATTAAGCAGTGCACATAAGAACCAAAAAAAAAAAAAAAAAAGTTGTAGTCTGTACTCACGGTCTTTCTTAAAATGTAGCGTTTCAGTCCCAGCATGGGACTATCCTCTGAACATCATGCTGTCCTGAGGTAAGTCCCATGCTAGGACTAAAACAGCGACACTTTGCATCACTATAAGCACTTTGAGTGCTCTTTTTAAGAAATGAGGAAATAAATACTGCTTTTAAGAAAGACCATCTGGAAATCTATTTATAAACAGGGCTATACATAGGACATGAGGTCACACATTTAGGCTGGAAGAAAAGAGATTTCATCTAAGGCAAAGAAAATGTTTTTTTACAGTAAGAGTAATAAGGATATGGAATTCTCTGCCTGAAGAGGTGGTTTTATCAGAGCCCATACAGATGTTTAAACTGAAATTGGATAAATACTTGCGAAAAACATAACATACAGGGATATAATTTCTAATTAGTGGGGTAAATAGCTGCTTGGTCCAAGGAGACATCTGACTGCTATTTTGGGGTTAAGAAGGAATTTTTTTCCTAGGTTTTTTGCCTTGTTTTGGATCAACAACAAAAACATACGTGAGGAAAAGTGAACTTGGACGCAAGTCTCTTTTCAGCTATGTAACCATGAGTGCAGACTACTACTTCCTTTTTTGTATATATAGATGTAACTAAAGTCTGGCACCTGGCATTGAACTCTTTAATTGAATTGGTGGATTAGAGCCTGAGTGCAAGGAGGAATATAAAAATAAATTTATATATATATATATATATATATATATATATATATATATTATATTTAAAAACACCTCACCTAGGCAAAAAAATAAAACTATTACAATCTCTAAGATTTGAAATCATTGTTTAGCGAATAAGCGAGTGCGCTGGATTCTGTATTTTGTATATTTTGGCCCCAGCAGCACCCTATAATGTATGCATATGTTCAGGTGAGTGCCGCCCTTTTGATTTCTTTTATATATTTGGGAGTCCCAGGCCAACTCCTTGGTTTTGCACACCACCCTGTTACAGGTGCCTCATTTCAGGACCCTATTTAGCCTTGACTTGCAGAGAGTCCCAGTAAGGAAGTATTTCCCAAGTAAGTGGATTAATCTCATAATTGCAAGCATTAGGCTGCTACTAGGATAGGACCTGCCGAATATGGGGTACTTTGACTTGGGGTAGTTGGCAGGCTTATGCAATGTATGATCATGTGACGTAACTAAACCCCCATAATTTTTTGCCTAGGTGAGGTGTTTTTAAATAAAACTATTACAATCTCTAAGATCTGAAATCATTGTTTAGCGAATAAGCAAGTGCGCTGGATTCTGTATTCTATACATTGATCTCTCGTCTGTCACAGGCATAACAATGTGCAGGAACGAGGTCAACGTATGCAACAAACGGCCTGACCACCTCGCAGAGATGTATAGGAGACAGACATCAAAAGTAAGGTCCTCTTTCCACAGTGCAATTAAAAGGGACCCTATAGTCACCAGAACAACTACAGCTCATTATATTTGTTTTGGTGAGTGTCATCATCCCCTTTAGGCTTTTTGCAGTAAACACTTTCTTTTCAGAGAAAATGCAGTGTTTACCTTACAACCTAGGGATAACTCCACTGGCCACTCTTCATATGGATACTAGGGATGCTTTCTACAGCACTGCCATTCAGTGTCTCCACCCTCTGCAGCCAGACACTGAACTTTCCTCATAGAGATGCACTGATTCAATGTATCTCTATGAGGTGATGCGGATTGGCCAGAGCTGTATTTGACTTGTGCTGGCTCTGCCCCTGATCTGCCTCCTTGACAGTCTCAGCAAATCATGTGGGAAAGCATTGTGATTGGCTCAGAACAACACTTCTGATTATGTCAGCCAAGCAGGCAGATCAGGGGTAAAGCCAGCAGCTGCAGACTTGAACAAAAGTAAGATTTTACTATATTAATGGAGGTAAGGGAGGACCGATGGAAGTTTTAACACTATAGGTTTAGGAATACATGTTTGTGTTCCTGACCCTGTAGCGTTTCTTTAATACTGTATTGACCCCCTATATCACGGGTCCTCAAACTACGGCGCGCCAGGGTCCTGAACCCATCCCAAACATTTAGGGCCACCCGATGGGCCTTATATCTTCAGGGGCTTGGTCAGCACTGCGGATGTGCAATAGCGAGACCGGGACCCTTTAAAAAAAAAAAAAATGCAGCCGCAAAATAGTGCTGAGAGGAAGTGACGGCCGGTCACTTTCTCTCAGCTCGCTCCGCGCAGGACAGGAGAGAGATAAGCCACAAGGACTCCCTTTAGCCCTAGCCACCATCCTGCAAAAAAAGTAAGAAAAATTAACTGTGTCTGTCTGTCTGTGCATGCCTGTGTCTGTATGTATGTGTCTGTATAGGACTATGTGTCTGTTTCAGTATGTATAGGAATTTCATTTTTTTTGTTTTTTTGTTTTTTTTTAACTATAATCCATCCCCCAATCGTGTCTGAGGGACAGTGAACTGGTCCCCTGTTTTAAAAAGTTTGAGGACCCCTGTCCTATATCAACCGTGATTAGCTTTTAGAATCAAATAATACAAATTTAAAAATTACTCTGTACAAATGCCTGAAAATGTATAGCTATTGAATCTAAGTGCACCCCCCCCAGATAGAAAATGCCAGATGCTTTAAGAATCCTTTGGGGGCAGGACAGTCCTTTTTATTCCCAGAGGTCACATTACAGGAGGTTGTTTGCAATGGTTTATTATTTAAGGTCTCCCTAGTGGAATAGCGACATTTTGTGCCTTGCTATCTGTGGCGAAACCGACCTCGCCACTGGGCATTGGAGAAGCCTGTGTGCCCGCCTCCTGCCTATGGCCCCTGGGAGATTTGGCCCTTTAAATACAGTATTTGGGCATATTGTATTTTATTATGCTATTGCTGGCCCTTTAAGAACCATCTGGGAGACATACTGTGACTTGGAACAATGCCCCTTTAAGACGGTGTCCCCAGTCTGTTAATATACCGTGTTCCTGGCTTTCTCCCACTTGGTTCAGTAAATGGGGCTTACTGAACCAGGTACCACACAGGCGGACCACCCAGGAGTGGAAGTGTGCAAGTTAAATTGCCGAAGGCTGGGGGGCTGCCATTTGACAAACGAACACATGGCAGCGGCCATCTTTTATTATTCAATGCAGTCAGCGGTGTGTGTAGCCAAATTCATGGAACTGAAATCGGCTACACAGTTCCGCAAACAACGCTGAGCCTTACCTTCTCCCACAATTAATTTGCAGGGATGGGACTTAGTCGTTTTTCCAGCCTGATATAGACCAACTGCACAGCCCAAATCTATGGAACTGTTTTGGGCATGAAAATGTGCTTGCGGTCGGTCAAAAAGGGACCTCCAGCTAACATTTTAACCCCTGGATGGAATTGGCTGAATTTTGGATATGTTTATAACTAAAGTGTGCCGAGTTTGAATATGTAATTATGTTTGTGGCATAAATATTTTTGAAGTTATTAATATTTTGTAAAAACTGTATTTCTATGACTGTGATAATTAACCATTGTGTTCAGTAATCATATCACAGGCAGAGGGGAGGATTTTGTGTGGGAGCGTCTGTGAGTATTGTACGTATTGATTGGTTGTATTTCAAAACCCTGTGGGCAGTACTAAGTTTGTGGATTGTGAATAAAAGAGGCTGTATGTGCCAGCACAGTCAGTTCTGCTTCACCCTTAATTTGGAGTCCTGTCTCTTATTGGGGGAATCTGCTACAAGGGATTGCTATGCTAGTCATACTCCCTTGCTATATCACTACTAAGCTCTTGTAAGAGCTTGTTCCTGTCTTGCTATCTGGAGGAGTCTACAGTGGTTATTGTGTCGGCTGGAGTGCTTGTAGCCCTCAGGAAGTGCTAGGAGCATCGTTCAATGGAGGTACCCAGTCGGGGTGCCAGATGATCCGTTACACTATTAGCCCACAACAAATATTTTACCTTTTATTTAATTAACTTGATATTAAACATTTCTCCTTCAATGAAACAAAAGTAACCTGGACAATAACACAAGCATTCACTTTTCCATTATAAATGTTTTGTATAAACTTCGGTTACTCTCACAAGAAGTGCCACACAAGAAAAGGAATTTCTTCAGTATCTACAGATTTGCACATCTGAATTACAGAGGGTACTTTAGGTACCCTGCAAATAAATCTTTGCTTCTACCAAAAGGAAAGAGAATGGAATTGTAAAACTACACAGTAGAGAAAAAAAAAAAAAATGTATGCACTATAGCAGAACAAGTTACCGTATATACTCGAGTATAAGACGGGTTTTTCAGCACTTTTTTGTGCTGAAAACCACCCACTCGTCTTATACTCGAGTCAATGTCTGTATTGCCATAATACAGACCAAGACCGCCGGGCTCATTACAAGCCCGGCGGTCCTGTTGGAGGCTGGCAGCGAGCTGTAACTTACCTTTCCTGCAGCTCCCTTCTCCTGCGCTCCGGTCAGCTCCCACTGTAAGTCTCGCGAGAGCCGCAGGGTCAGAGCGTTGCCACGGGTTACCATGGCAGCGCTCCGCGCGGCAGTCCCACCACAAGACTTACAGTGGAGCTGACAGGAGCTGCAGGAAAGGTAAGTTACAGCTTGCTGCCAGCCCCCCTCCTACACAGTACACACCACTGGACCACCAGGGAATGAGAGCCCCCCTCCCTGGCCATGTATCAAGCAGGGAGGGGGGACGAAAATAAATAAAAATATTAATAATATAAAAAAATATTAATTTTAAAAAAAATTAAATGCCCACCCCCCACCAAGGCTCTGCATCACATACACACACACACTGCATTCATTATATACACACACTGTAAATAAATATTCAATTAATATAATTTTTGGGGGATCTAATTTTATTTAGAAATTTACCAGTAGCTGCTGCATTCCCCACCCTAGTCTTATACTCGAGTCAATAAGTTTTCCCAGTTTTTGGGGGTAAAATTAGGGGTCTCGACTTATATTCGGGTTGACTTGTACTCGATTATATATGATATATCCTACAGGTGATCATAAAAGGGTTATCTGGTTGTAAACAACCTACCTGCGAGAGGGTGAGAGTACATGTTTATGAGATGAAGACTTGGTAGGGGTTGGTGAGGACACATGGCGTTTTCTTGGAGCAGGAGGAGAATAATCCCTAGAATTAGATGAATTGCTACCAGAGTGTTCATCTGGACTTGGAGATCGTTTCTGCCTGTGTGATCCTTGAGAAGCATCCCTATAAAAATCATCAAAAACACGTTGCAAAGAAAAAAAAAAAATATATATATATATATATTTTACATTTCGATTTCAGAAGGTAATCCATTATAAGATTTTAGTAGAACATATTTTTTTAAGTACTACTTGAATACTATATAAGCATATATTTAGAGAGACACCTTACACATCTAACCTCTGTTTGTCCTTTTTGTCTCTGTGCTTCTCAACTTCTTGTGCTCTCTCTTTTACGTCCTTTACCTTTTCCTCCACTCGATCTTTCATTTTATGTTTATCTTTGTGCTTCTTGGAAATTGGAACTTCTTCTTGAGCTGGAGGTGGAGGACTTGGAGTACGAGGTCCTTTCTTTTTGCTGTGTGCTCCTTTTGTGTATCTACTAAATGCAATGTATTAAAATTATAAAAATATGTATATACAAAACACCCACTTAAATGCCCCAAAGTATTAAAATGCAAACTGTATACAATGGACACATTAAATGTAATACAATATTTTGGAATTCAAGTTGGAACAATATCTTTGTGTTTCAAATTAAGTAAATTGGATGTGTAGAATTCTTAAATCCTTTAGCTTTTGTTGGACTTCTATATGGTAACCAATTCTGTAATGTAATTAGAATAGAGACATATGGTTGCAGCTTACTCACCTTCCTGATAGCTCAGGCAGAGGTGAAGATACGGCAACTGCCTTCTTCTCTTTCTTATTTACGGAACTGGAAGATTTAGGGCTGGATTTTCGTTTTGGAGATTTACTAGATTTTCTTGGTGAAGGTGACATTTTGGTCATTACTTCAGGTGATATCTACACACAACAATTCAGAAGAAAAATTTCATTAAAGTAGCAGATGTAATTACATTAAATATGCATATGCTTTACCAAGCAGCTGCTACGCAATTTATAGATATAAACACAAAAAACAACATTTTCAAATCAGTAAATGTAGTTTATGGTTACAACGTGATGCCCTGCTATAAAACACCTGTTCCCCAGCCAGTTTCTCTCTCCTGCAGTGGGAATTTACAGGGAGGGACACAATTTAGAGTAGGGTGTAGGGTGAGGAGTGTATAACTTTTTTTTTTTTTTAACTGAATACATTTTAATGATATTACATACAATGTATGCTTAAAGGAACACTATAGTTTTTTTTTTTTTTAATTGCCGTTTAGGCCCCCGGCACCCTCTCTATACTATAAAAAGGTGTGCGGATCGAATTGTGATTTGCCCCACCGGTTGTAGTTGTTCGGGTGACTATATTGTCCATTTAAGGCATGGGTCGTCAACCTGGTCCATACCGCCCACTAGTGGGCGTTATAGGATTCCAGGTGGGCGGTAAGGATTTCCTCATTTTGAGAGATTGAGCGGACAGGCAGGTGCGAGCCAGCGGTACCCCTGCGACCGGGTACCCGCCATCACCATTTGCGGTCCCGGCCCGCGTGACAAACCGCCAGGTCCGTCGTCCAAGGAGTTCATCGGGTGGCTCATGCTGTCAGAGCCACCCGATGGTTATGGAATGTAAGGGGGCCCGGTCAGCGCTGAGCGCTTTAACAGCGAGACCAGGCCCCTGTGATTACATCACACAAAGCTGGGAGAAAGGGACTGCACGTCACTCCTTGCAGCTAACACACAGACCGCGCGGGAGGAAGCAGAGGGAGTCAGAGTGGGAACTCTTGACTCCCATCCACCTGAGCCACCACTGGACCCCAGGGAATGTCACCCTCCTGCACCTAAAAGGTAGAAAACAGGAGGTTGATTAAAATATTTTGTGTCTGTCTGTCTCTCGTGTGTGTGTGTGTGTGTGTGTCTGTCTGTCTCTCGTGTGTGTGTGTGTGTGTGTCTGTCTGTCTCTCGTGTGTGTGTGTGTGTGTGTGTCTGTCTGTCTCTCGTGTGTGTGTGTGTGTGTCTGTCTGTCTCTCGTGTGTGTGTCTGTCTCTCGTGTGTGTGCCTGTCTCTCGTGTGTGTGCCTGTCTCTCGTGTGTGTGTCTGTCTCTCGTGTGTGTGTCTGTCTCTCGTGTGTGTGTCTGTCTCTCGTGTGTGTGTCTGTCTCGTGTGTGTGTCTGTCTCGTGGTGTGTCTGTCTCTCGTGGTGGTGTGTCTGTCTCTCGTGTGTGTGTCTGTTCCTCGTGTGTAAGTGTCTGTCTCGTGGTGTGTGTCTGTCTCTCGCGGTGTGCCTGTCTCTCTCGTGGTGTGTGTGTCTGTCTCTCGTGTGTGCTCCAAGCCCTCGTGTGTGTGTCTGTCTGTCTCTCGGTGGTGTGTGTGTCTGTCTGTCTCGCGGTGTGTGTCTGTCTCTCGTGTGTGTGTGTCTGTTGTCTGTCTCGCGGTGTGTGTCTGTCTCTCGCGGTGTGTGTGTGTGTGTGCCTGTCTCTCGTGGGTGTGTGTGTGTCTGTCTGTCTCTCGTGTGTGTGTGTGTCTGTCTGTCTCTCGTGTGTGTGTCTGTCTGTCTCTCGTGTGTGTGTGTCTGTGTCTCTCGTGTGTGTGTCTGTCTGTCTCTCGTGTGTGTGTGTCTGTCTGTCTCTCGTGTGTGTGTGTCTGTCTGTCTCTCGTGTGTGTCTGTCTGTCTCTCGTGTGTGTGTGTCTGTCTGTCTCTCGTGTGTGTGTGTCTGTCTGTCTCTCGTGTCTCTCGTGTGTGTATGTGTGTCTCTCGTGTGTGTATGTGTGTCTCTCGTGTGTGTATGTGTGTCTCTCGTGTGTGTATGTCTCTCGTGTGTGTATGTCTCTCGTGTGTGTGTGTGTCTCTCGTGTGTGTGTGTGTGTGTCTCTCGTGTGTGTGTGTGTCTCGTGTGTGTGTGTGTGTGTCTCGTGTGTGTGTGTGTGTGTCTCGTGTGTGTGTGTGTCTCTCGTGTGTGTGTGTGTGTGTCTCTCGTGTGTGTGTGTGTGTGTGTGTCTCTCGTGTGTGTGTGTGTCTGTCTCGTGTGTGTGTGTGTGTGTCTGTCTCGTGTGTGTGTGTGTGTGTGTGTGTCTGTCTCGTGTGTGTGTCTGTCTGTCTCGTGTGTGTGTGTGTGTCTGTCTGTCTGTCTCGTGTGTGTGTGTGTGTCTGTCTGTCTCGTGTGTGTGTCTGTCTGTCTCTCGTGTGTGTGTGTGTCTGTCTGTCTCTCGTGTGTGTGTGTGTGTGTCTGTCTCTCTCGTGTGTGTGTCTTCGCGCGCGCGCGCCTCGTGTGTGTCTGTTATAGTGGGCTATAGTAAGTAATAGTAAGTACTGGGCATTGTTAGAAGGAAGGTTAAAAAATAGAAAAAAGGAAGAAAAAAAAAGTGGGGAGGGGAATTGAGGAGGTGAGCTGACTCACAGATGAGAAATCATATCATGAGCAAACAGAGAAGTCGTCTGAATATCACCGAAAGAGGAGACCTTTGTTTGTTCCTGACGAAAATCGAACCAGATATCAAATATTTAGTCTCGCAGCATCAACCTCAAGGATCTCATTAATCACTAGTAAAGGTAATTTCAATTTACTTTATTGTTTTCTCATTAAACTTTATAAAGTTTAAAACATTATAAATATAAATAAAGTAGAAATAAAAAGATAAATGTACGTACATTTATTTTTTCAAAAACACCCTCCTTTCTAAAAAATATTCCGCACAAACTGGTGGGCGGTAAGGAAATTTTTCCATCAAGAAAGATGCATTAGTGGGCAGTAGGTAGATAAAGGTTGACTACCACTGATTTAAGGAATTGAAATTTGTTTGACTAGGTGCAGAAGACTATATATTTTAAATGAGCTCCACACAATGCAGCCACACAAAGTCAGGTTCTTTCAATTGCATTGTACATAACATTAATGTTTGAGGCTCTAGAGCTTGAATTTCAGCCTGATTGCTTCCTGCGACGTCACATCGCATCGCATCATGCAGTGCACTTTGTAGGGTGCAATTGGCACTGATGAGTGATCCATGGATTTTCATTACCCCAGAAACGACAAATGTGTTTACTGACTAAGCCACTTAAAACTTAAATGAAAATAAGCTTTGTCAGACATTATGAATTGATGAATAAATAGTTTTTCTCTCTGGCTAAATCTGTGTTCCTTTGTGAAATAACCCATGATGGATCTCTCAAGACTCAATTAGAATATATACATGCGACCAAGAAATTTAACTACTAACAAATAAGTTATTTACCTGTCAAATCCAACTCTGAATTTTGCCTGCCTCCCCCCCCCCTATTTGACATTCTAATACCCATAAACCTGCAATGAAGACATCAGAAACATTTTGGAGAGACGTCCCCAAACAATGTTAGTTGTGTTTAGGACTAGAGGGTGGATGTCAGAGTATAATGCCAATCGATCTCTGAAATAGGGGTGGAGGGTGCTGGAGCAAGGAAGGATAGAGGGTGAGTGAGTAGAACTATAACCATTCATACTCCAAATATATAACTTATCACTTTGAAGAATTATATATTTACTGCTTTAGGAGCAGTAGTTTTGAATGCTCTACCACCACGTTTGTTTTGCTTTCTCATGTAGCTGATAAAGTATATAAATATGACCAGAAATCTATGGTTGTGAAACATCCATTACAAAACCAGTGAAGATAGTAATGGCTGTTAGTTCAAAAAAGATGCAACAATGCATGTAGTACATGAAAGATTAACCATAAGAAAGAGGGGGGAAAAATCTCTTGCACTATATCTCCACTTCCCATAAACCAAATGTTCAGCAGAATTACATTTAATGGATTTTTTCCCATAATGTTCCCAAGAAGCAGTAAATAATAAAATTACAATCCGGTACTGTCCAGATTGATCGAAGACACTATGGGCTGTATGGATCTAAAGTTACAAATACTTTTCCATCAAAACAGGTCACATTTACTAGCTAGTGTGAATATGCAAACCTCTTTTTTAATCACAATCTCTTCTCGTTTTTCCATGTTCTCCTGCTCCAACTTCATAAGTTCTCTCTGGATTTTCTGCCGCTTCATTTCTAGAGACAATTCATGGTCATAATCGTAATTAACATCACCGTTCTCGGAATCTGGGGATATGAAAAATATCCAAACAAACATTTTGAATAAATTAAGTTAACTATGTCCTTTAATCATCTGGAGTTACTTTTCTCTGTCTCTCCAAATAGGGAATTATAAAATGAAACTCACAAGGCCAGGACAGAACAGAAGTGAGTCGTAAAAGGGTGAAATGGGGGGGGGGAGGACGACGACAATGATTAGCTGAGCATGTCAGCTGATGCGCTCAGTTCATTATTGATGATCATCGCCAGTGTATATAAGTGTGCATTTCTAGCTTTTATTCGCAAATGGACAGCCAGCCTACTAATTATTCTACAGATCTTGCAAATGCTAAAAGATTACAAACTGAAAAGCAAGCTATAAAACTTAACACAATAGAACATTTTAAGGAAATGTTCATCATTGCACCAACAGTGTACATTATAAATATGCCTTTGTAGCTTCATTAATGCCAAAAAGCAGCAGGAGTATTACTACTACTTATAATTAGCCATGGGCTACAATAGGAAACTCATGCATATGCACTCAATATGCTGCCTGCATGTTTTAATTCAGACTAAACAAAAATCTACCTACTGTGCAAGTAAGCTTGTGGCCATCTAAATGAAAAGCAGAAAATGTATGCATGATCTGAGCAGTTCTAACCTCTTAATCGCCCTACCTGGTTTTAAATAACAGTTAAAACAAAACCCAATACACAACAAAACATTCTACATAGTACATGTCCAAAATCTTGAACTGGATTTCCATCTAAATCAATGTATATCCTTATTTTCTAGAGCTGCTGAGTTCTACCTATAAAGAGATAACTACTCCAACAGACTGTATCGTGCATTATAATTACTCATGACTGTGCAAAACATCACAGGAGCAGCAAGTGAAGATACACTACATAACATTTTCATATAGCTTTCTCAAGCAAGTGTACTTTGTAAACCCACCAGAAATGTATGGGATATTTAGTTCAGCACTCAAAATTCTATCACCTAGCAAACCAATACTGGCCTGTCACGTCTCCATTTATATTTTTTTTCATGACTTGCAATCACAGCACGGGCTCCATCACAGAAATCAAGGGGCCTTTCAAAGAGGGTGTGAAGCTATATGGTATGCACACTTTATACAATTACTTGCAGAGCGATAGGGAAATATTGCCAAATTAGATAATTAGCTACTCTTGGCATAAACTAGAAAAGTCACAAGTCACAGTTGCCGGCATTTAACATTGATAAAGTTGATTGGTTCCAGCATAGCACCAGCAAATGGCATATGTCAACTATGGAAGAAATGGTAAGCATCTCTCAAAGTACAAAAACGTATATCAAAGAAACAACTGGATCGTTATCTGAACCATTTTGATGAGAAGCAGAGAGAAAAAAGTAAGAGAATTAGATAAAGTATGCAATAAATCTTTTGACTGGACTTGAATTTTAATGAAATTAGTGGTCTACATGCACTTTTCAGAAAGATTATATATTTATGGAAAACATAAAAGTGACATTTAGGTTTTAATTTTGTGGTCTATGCTAGAGTTTAGAATCTGAAATTCTATGCTACGCGCCAGGCCTAGAAAGTTATGAACCATTGTAAGCTGTAGCATACTCACCAGGGCTAAATTTTCACTCACCAGTGGAGAGTGGGAATATTGAGCCCTGGTCTGTGATATGGGTTTATACATGTTCTCACCATCTCTAGTCGTTTCCCATTCAGCAGTTTCTTCGTCGCTTTCAGGAGTTCTCTCCTTAGTAATTTTTATATCTTCCTTTTCTCTGTGCCTTCCTCTGGAAGATTCTTTCTGTAAAAGCAAGATTCCAAAGTTACAAAACATTGCCTTTGCTTTTCAAAGAAAAATGAAAAAAAAAGTTTTTCCAACCTTTATGTTATAAGAACTCAAATGTTTACCAAGCAAACAGATCTGAATTGCCCCCAAATTGTGCCAGAATCCCAACTTGTCATAAGGCTTTAGAATGCCCTTCCAAATTTTCTTTAATGAACATCACTGTGAAGGAAATAGGGGTCATCCACAAGACCCCATAACAATGCTGTAGACTCCCCTCTTAAACCATCTTAACCAATGTGCAACAGGTGAAGAGCTTAAATCCTTCACTACCAAGCACGTTTTGATAAAAAAATAATAAAAAAAAATTATATATATATATATATATATATATATATATATATATATATATATATATTAATTATATTATAAAAACCTTTATTTGAAGTAAGTGGATGCATAACTAGCATTTAAATATTATACATAAATTGTGTATAGGCGGATTTGCAGACAATCATACAAATTGTAATTATACAAATTTATAAAAAGGTATATTTTTCACTTATACATGCACCCTTTGTAAAAATATTTGGGAAATAAAAAGCTTTAGACAATATTCAGCATCATTTATCTTGCGACATTAAACACAGGGTCTGAAATGATACTAGGAAAGCAAAAATGCAAGTTCTCAATTACAGTAGACGTGACAAAAATAAATTAAATTAGTCAATACCTTTTTGTAGGTATTTGCATAGGCCATGAAGGCATTACCGGAAATACAGCTTACTTAAAATGACCACACACACAATGAATATAGTTAAATCATATTTGTAGAATAATGCAATTAAAAACTGCTATAGCAATCTTTATCAATCTCTGGAACAGTAAGATGGGGGAGCCTAGGAGATCAATCTGGTGCAGAAATTTAGAGGTAAAAAAAAAAGAAAGTGAAATGGCAGACCTAGGGGCATTTGGGGGTGACGGCTTTGGGAACAAAGTTAACTGCAGAAGAATCAGGAGCGGTAAAAAACCCAAAACAAAACAAAAAAAACGGATGCGGTCATGACAGTGCTGTTTTTATATGCCCAACATGGCTTGGTAGTTTCTCTAAAAACAGGAAGAGTCATCTGCCAACACTAGATCGCACTAAATTTGCACGCATGCCCAGGTGAGCGCTTGGCATACGCTATTGTCAGAATTTTGGCTAGTTATATGAAAGACTAATTATAATTCAGTAGACATGCACTTAATAGAGGGAGATTTTATCCTCCCTTATTTACTAATACTAAGTATCTTCTATTTAGCATGAGTAAAGTTGGCTGATAGCTCCCTAATCCTTATGGAATTGCCATTATATTTACATTATACAGGGTACCAATTTAGGGGACTATTTACTAAACGGCTGGAAAAGATACATAAGACAAAATAGTCCCTACTAGATTTTAAAGAGAACTAGAGCAGAAAAAAAAAAAAAAAAGACTCTGGGAGAGGTACAAAAGAGAAAACCATTGGTAAAAAGTAAGTGAGGCTTGACAGTGCCGCTTTAACGTGCTCACAGAAATTCACATAAGTGCCAAGGCATCCTAGGACAAATGAGTCGCCCAGAATGCAAAAAATTTTTTTTTCCTTTTAACTTATCTTTGCTGCTTTATTCGTCCTGTAAACACCAAAAAGGCAAAACAAAAAAGTAAAAGTCACAATGAGTTGCCACTTGGAAATCACAATTCTGCTTTAAAGGGAATGTATGAGCCATAGCTACTACAGTTTAATGTAGTAGTTATGGTAAAATGAGTCTTTGGGTGCCATTCTCTTATGTGTCAAACGCATTGAGCTCTTCTATCTCCCATTGCTCCTGTTCTGATAATGCAGAGGTTTCCTTTCCCTGCAAATTCATCGAACTATGGACCACAATGAGTGGTGCTTCGACTAATACTTGCAGCCCATTGCTACCATCTTCTTTAAAAGGGATCTTTACCATATACACATTTCTGGACATGGTGTTCATAGAAAAATAAAAAAATAAAATACATTATTTAAGGGAAAAAAAATATATCATGTACATACCCTTGCTGGGGACGTTGCTTCTTCAGCTGTACGTTTCTGTGGCTCTGACTCAACATCATGACGTCTGTTCTTCATTTTGTCACGCAAATCTCCTGTCGGTCTTTCTGGAGACCTGTATAAATTAAACTTATTTTACACTCAGTGCAAAACAAAAATTAGACTAATGAAAATTCTTTAACTTAATGAAAGTGGGAAAAAGTGCAGATTATTGCACTTGAGATATAATAAGTTGTTTTTAATTTGCTTTATGGAAATTATAGAGGGCACTTCCTGGATCATAGCACAGGAAACCTGTGCTAGAGCGTCGCACATTCGCATTAAGTCTCCCCGGCCGGTGGGCGGGATCAGTCTCGTCCACCAGCCAATGCAATCACTAGGAGGAGCGGCGGCGGAAGAACCAGCGAAGTGGGACATCGTCGCTGCCTCTGGTAGGTAAGTAAGCAACCGGGGATTGGGGGGTGGGAGGGAGAGGGGACCTGCAGTGCCAGGAAAACGGATTGTTTTCCTGGCACTGGAGTTTCCCTTTAATGGATGAGGGCACTCTACTGACGCTCACACCAATGAGCACACAACTGAACTGCCAGTTTAGCTCAGTAGAGATAATCAGATTTGTTATGGGGCTTGTAGTATACCTTTATGTGAGCTCTGAGTTCTAAATATCCTCCACCTAGATGAACTAAATTGGTTAGGACAGATTATATAGTCGACAAAATAGAATACGAACATATAATTAGAATTTGAAATCTTCCTACCTGCTAACCATGCCAAATCTGCTGAGTACCACTTACCTTATTCATCTTATGATAATTAAAATTCAAAGTTTATATTTAAAAAACATAAGCAAACTAAAATTTCAACATAAAAATAATTATACTCTATTTAGTGATACATAAAAATCAGAAATATGTTAAAAGTATCATGAAGCTACATTGGGTTTCTAAATGCAGTAAAAATTATACATACATGCATACATATATACACATATATATACACACACACACACATTTTTTTTTCCCCCCCAACATCCTTAAAGGAACACTATAGGGTTAGGGATACAAACGTGTATTCCTGACCCTATAGTGTCAAAAACATTATTTAGGTCCATGCCACCCCTTAAATATTGTCAAAACTTACCATTATCTCAGCGCCACTCATGTCTGCGGGCGCTGGCCCCGCACCCCTGGCTGAGATCATTAGAATTGACAATCTTAGCCAATGCAATGCTTACCCATAGGAAAGCATTGGGAGGTTAACGCGCATATGCTGCAAAACACCGCACTGTGCCAATCAGCATTTCCTCATAGAGATGGATGGAATCAATGTATCCCTAAGGGGAAAGTTCAGCGTCTCCATGCAGAGCGTGGAGTCGCTGAACGTCAAATGCTGCACGTTGTGCAGCACTGACCTAGGAAGCACCTCATGTGGCCGTCTAAATGACGGCCACAAGAGGTGTCACCAGGCACTAATGTAAACACTACCTTTAATTCATCAAGCTGTAGGTCTGGTGACTATAGGGTCCCTTTAACTGTTGTCACAATGTTTAAAAAAGTATAGTACTACATGAATTAATCATAGGCTTATGAAGTGCCTTACCTTCGATAAGAACTGCTATATCCTTTGCCTCTTGGTGAAGGTCCATGTATATATCTACAGGTGTTACCATACATACAAGCGCCATTATTCATCCAGTTACGACATTGTGCCTGAAACACAGACAAGATCCAAAGATTTCTCGGTCAGCTAGCAAGCAATAATACACTGGGGGTCGAAGTAAGCCAAAAATGTAATGGTCTTATGGTAAGTCAGTGAAGAGTTTTTGTCTGAAGCAGTTAGAGAACACTAATGGCTCTGCCCATGATTTATACACTTATGTACAATGCATCTGTACTTTTTCACTGCAAATATAAATTATAATGAAAACAGGATGCTTGGAAGCAGGGCTACGCATAGTTGTGGACTAAAAACCTCAAAATAAGCAGCCAGCCAAAAAGATGGCTGAGCATCTAAAAACAATTTACCAGAAGGAGCCATCGCCGCACTGGCAAATAGTGGAGCTTAGTGTATGCAAAAAGTTAGAGATAGTGCCACAAGATTACTAATACAGCAAAATTCAGAATGTTTAAAAGGGCACTATGCGCTAAAACCAGTAAAATTGCAACCTTACCTCAGGAGGTCCAAGCCTTTCAAAAACACTTGGTCTACGAGATGTGCTATCGGATATGGTTTTTGTGTTTTCTACTGTAACCTTCCGACGGCTTTTTGACATCTTGCACTTTTTCTTACCTACAGAAGGGGAAAAAAATAAATAAATTGTTCCACTGAAAATAATTCAATTTAAGTTAAATTTAGTTAAATTCCAGTTGTTTTTTCAAGCCATACCTTCATGAAAACAAGCACTTAATGTCACTAAGACAGCAAGTTTCAACTAAGTAGTCTACTAACTGCAGCTAATATGTAGCTCGTGAATTACTCTCGAACTAAAACTACTGTGGAGCACAGCCAGCCAAAGCAAACTATTTTCTTTCTTAATATCAACAAAGTGCTTTGGGTGCAGTGGTCCTGTCATTTTAACCCTACAATTTTTAACCCTGCAGCTGATTGCAAGAGCACGGCATTTGGCTGTGCATATCTATTTCAAGTCCATTGCTTCCCTATGCATTAGATTTACGCAAACATGCTGACAATTTTGAATGTGAAGCAGATTGCTACAGCAGAAGAGTCCTGGTGCTGGAAATGAGGCAAGTAATCTTTTGAAAAAAAATTTGGGTGTGTTTTTAACCAAAGGTGGTGCACAGAATAGGTTCCCTTTAATTAGATTAACCTAAACTTATTTTACATTATCACTGTACTGGTATGACTGGAGCGTGCCACTGTATTGGTTGTAGTGCCATTAGGTCACAAGAGCTGTCTCTGGAACAGTTTTTGGGCAATACAACCAAAAACAGAGGTCCTCAATTCACCAATGAACGTGTCAATATATGATTGCAATAGATATTGCTAATGCGGAAGGGGAACTTTTTTAGATCTTGAGTTTTGGTCAAACTGTCCGAAAGTGGTCTGACCAATAACCAGCGCACACAGCACACCAAAGGCACCTTTACAACTACACATAGTGATTATGGCAACTAGACTACTCCTTTGTCTAGTTTATTCCTCACATATACAGGTCTGCAAAATGGTCTACAGTTGGGCTAAACATAACAAAAAGGTATTAGAACACAGAAAAACTGTAACCAAAAATCCAGCCTATAACTGAAAACGGGTAGGTCTTGAACAACATACAGTAAGTACTGGAAGTCTCACGATTACTATTGTCAGTTGTTGTGCCGATCCACTGCTAAACCAACTTAGAGTACTTACAAATATTTAACCGAAAATCTGCAAGAGTGCTTAGTGCATAGCAGCACACGAGTCTCACCTAGAATCTTCTGTAACCTGCCCCAATGCTAGCACAGTGCACAGATACACTTTACAAAATATTAAAACTGCATCCTTCCATGTTCACTAGGTGCTTAACCGTCCCCAGTGACAATTCTGGTATAAAGAGACAGACAACGTGTACTTAGAAGATTATCCCCCATTGGCCCTGTAAGACACCGGCACCGCCACAGCGGGCCACCAGCCCTACCTTCCAGGGCCACCGGCACCGCCACACTGGGGGCCACCACTGGCCTCCCCCTGACCCGCAGTGTCCCGGTTACCCCGGGCAGGCCGTTACCCCAGGCGGGCCCCGCAGTGTCCCGGTTACCGCCGGTGGGTTGCAGTATCCCGGTTACCCCGGGCAGGCCGTTACCCCAGGCGGGCCCCGCAGTGTCCCGGTTACCGCCGGTGGGTTGCAGTATCCCGGTTACCGCCGGTGGGTTGCAGTGTCCCGGTTTCCCCGGGCGGGCCCCGCAGTGTCCCGGTTACCGCCGGTGGGTTGCAGTGTCCCGGTTACCCCGGGCGGGCCGTTACCGCCGGTGGGTTGCGGTGTCCGCCATTTCTTACCGTTTTGCCGTCGGTAGCGGCGCCGTAGGCCGCGTCCTGCAGAGTCCCGGGCCGTGACCGCTGTGTGTCTGGCTGCCGCCCCTGGGAGCTCAGCGGCCCTCCCAGTGCTGCGAACAGACCAAGATCCCGAGCGCGGCTCCCAGCGCCGCTAACCGGACTCCCAGGCAGCCCCGGCCGCTGCCCCTCCTCCGCTTCTTCTCCTTCTCCCGCCGCCGCCCCGCTGCCGAGACCGGAGCGCCTGCCGAGCTGGGAACCGTGAGAGGAGCTGAGGGCCGATACAACAACAGACCGGGGGAGAGCGGCTCACTGACCGCATCACACGGCAGCCAATCAGCAGCCACGTACAGCGCGTGCCGCAAGGAATGCTGGGAGAGGCGGTCAGAGCGCCTTCAATACCCTGTCTATGGCTGTGATAGAGCTGCCGGGAGAGCGTGCTGGAAGGCCATTCAATAAGCTGCCTGCCCGGCAGGGTTAGTCACTGACACAGAATTGTGAGAATTCACTCTGGGTTATTCACTAAAATGTGAGATTTGTAAATGATCCATAGCCAAACTGAAAGCACAGCTGACTGTAAAATAGAGAATTATCCCATTCTGGCTATTTTATTTCTTAAAATTTAAAAGTCACATTTTTGCTTAGTAAACATATGTGAGAGTTTGTGGGTTATTCAAAGTGAATTTAAAGGGACGCTATAGGCACCCAGACCATTTCAGCTCATTAAAGTGCTCTGGGTGCAGTGTCCCAGTCCCCTTGGTTCTGAAGTATAAATCATTGCAGTTTTAGAGAAACTGCAACAATTACATTGCAGGTATAACACTGCCTCTGATGTCAGTAAATCAAACAGCCACTAGAGGCATTTCTTGGTCCCTAAGCAACCTTTGGTCACCTGAAGCTGGACGTCCTTACGTCATCCAGTGTCAGTAGATGAAATCCCCATAGGAAAGCATTGAGGCAATAGAATCCCTTTAACCCTTTAAGGACTGGACTGTTTTTGCGATGTTGTACATTTGCGACCAGGCATATTTTTACACTTTTGTGGTGTTTGTGTTTGGCTGTAATTTTCCGCTTTCTCATTTACTGTTCCCATACAAATTATATATTGTTTTTTTCAGGACAAAAGGGGCTTTCTTTACATACCATTATTTATATAATCTCATGTATTTTAATTTAAAAAAAATATGATGAAAAATTGAAAAAAATACATGTTTTTTGACTTTTACTTGAAAAATCTTTTACTCATCTACAAAAGCGAATGAAAAAAACTGCTAAATAGATTCAAAAGTTTCAAAAATACCTAGTGTTTATTTTTTTTGCATGTTATAGGGCTATAGGTACAAGTAGGATATTGCGGTTTAAAAACATACATTTTTAAAATTTATCAATAGTGACATTGTAACACTATTATCTGTCATAAATCTCTGAATAACACCCCACATGTACATATTTTTTTTAAAGTAGACAACCCAGGGTATTCAATATGGGGTATGTCCAGTCTTTTTTAGTAGCCACTTAGTTGAAAACACTGGCCAAAGTAAGCATTCATATTTGTTTGTGTGTGAAAAAAGTAAAAAAACTAAATTGAATGCTAATTTTGGCCAGTGTTTGTGACCAAGTGGTTACTAAAAAAGACTGGACATACCCCATTTGCAATACCTTGGGTTGTCTTCTTTGCAAATGGTATGCCATCATGGGGGTAATTCTCATTCCTGGGCTACCATATGCTCTCAAAGGCAACGTAACCAACCTGGCCATTTTCAATGTAAAAATATTTGACCCATATATTTGACCTTGTAACTTTCAAAAATGCTATAAAACCTGTACATGGGGGGTACTGTTTTACTCGGGAGACATCGCTGAACACAAATATTAGTGGAAAACGTATCACAATTAAAACAATTATATCATCAGTAAAAGTGCTGTTTGTGTGTGAAAAATGCAAAAAAAGTAACTTTCACTGACAATATCATCGATGTGATATGTTTTACTGTTTTGAATCACTAATATTTGTGTTCAGCGAAGTCTCCCGAGTAAAACAGTACCCCCCATGTACAGGTTTTAGGGTGTCGTAGAACGTTACAGGGTAAAATACAGTGCTAGCAAATTAAATTCTCTTGAATTTCGGCCTGGGTTGGCAGGCAGGTCCCTCAAATTGCAATCAATAAAATTACTGAATTATGTAAAAATATTACATAAATACGCACGTAGAATTTAAATATATATGCATATTTATATATTTGAAGTCTACGTGTATATTTATATAATTATTTATGTAATTTTGCATATGGACATATGTATATTTCACATTATTTTTATTTATTTTTATATACATAGATATATATACAAATTCATTCTAAGTGTATTTTGATATAAATATATATATATTAATTTTAAAATACAGTTAGAATAAAATTTCATATAGCTATATAATTTTTTTTTAATTTTTTATTATTATTTAAAAAAAAATTTATTTAATTTAAATTACTTATTTATATTTTATAATATATATATACAATATATAGTTATTATATATATTATATATATACGTGTGTAATTTAATTATAAGTGTATTTTTATATTAATATAAGTACATATTAATATAAAAATACACTTAGTATGGCATTATATATATGATATATAGACATATATTATATAGATATAATATATGTCTTTATATCATATATACACATATATAATTATTATTATTTTTTTTCTTAACACTAACTTTATTTTTTTAAATGATTTTACACATGCAGGGAGACTGCCTGTCAGCACAGACAGTCCCCCTGCAGGCAGACACATGGACACCTATTGTGACCATGTGATCGCTGTGTTAAGCGATCACATGGCCACAGGGGTCCTAATTCAGTGTGGGGAGACTGTCTGGGCTGCAGGCAGTCTCCCCACAACCGGAGCCACGCTGATCGCCGCAGGGGGAACGACAGCGATCAGGTAAGTAGCTCAGACCGTTAGGACGGTTCAAAAATGCCGATGACGGTCCTGAACCGTCCTCGGTCGGGAAGGGGTTAAGGACACATGACATGTGTGACATATCATGATTCCCTTTTATTCCAGAAGTTTGGTCCTTAAGGGGTTAAAGGACCACTCCACACTCATAGGATCACTTTTTGGGTGAGGAGTATGAACTGTAGCTTAATGAAGCCATTTTTGTGTATAGATCATGCCCCTGTAGTCTCACTGCTCAATTCTCTGTCATTTAGGAGTTAAATCACTTTGTTTAAGCAGGCTAGTCACACCATTCTGCATGTGACTTACTCAGCCTTTCTAAATAATTCTTATAAAGAATTGTCCCTGTAGAGTCCATAGGTGGGATGAAACACGTAGGATCAACTTTGAACTTATGGTGACATGCTACATCTGCTTTTACTAACTTCTATGTAAGTCAGTAGATTTGCATTGTGCACTTTACTTGGTTGCTATTTTATTGGATTGCACTTTGTCTTTTCTCATTTTGAGATTAATAAAGCTCAAGATCTGTTCCATTATACTGAAGGCTCTTTATCCTTTTTTTCAATTGTGAGTGGCCATTCGGCGTATACAATTAATTATCACTTTGTTGTACAGTTTTGCACTATGTTATGCCATTTCTTCCCTGGCAGGATAACCCCTACTTTTGTATATTGATAACCACTACAGTCAACTGTACTGGTTATTATGCCTGGAATGCCCTAGTGTCATATCACCGTAAGTGATAAAACTATTTTAGAACACTTTGACAATTTACCTGGCTCCCGTCATGTGCTTGCAGCCACATACCCTACATCTGAATTTTCATTCAGGAGAATACAGTAAGCTCAACTTGGCTAAGTAGGTATATGCAGAACAATATTCGTCAGCTGAACACTTTCAGCCAATAGGCACAGTCCTGGATTGCTTGTGCTTCGATCTATGAAGACAACTGGCTTAAGTTGCAGGAGAAGACAGAACGTGGATCAAACGCCCAAGTAACCCACGTAAGTTGTTACACAGGTGAGTTTGACTACACGCTGTGGAATGGTGCCAGGGATCATAACCACTATAGTGGGCTGTATTGGTTATGGTGCTTGGATTGTACCTTTAAGATTAAAATAGCCTGGTACTGTGGATTTTGCTTTTATGTAAGGGCAAATCTTCTTGAAAGTCTGTTATTATTCACTCACTCTGAACAAATCTGGTAGAGTAGCACACAATTTTTTAGCATTATATTATAAAATATTACAAATTTAAGATAAATTAGTTTTACAATGTACAACTTAATAATGTAATAATATAATAAATATGTTTAATTATTGGGTTTTGTTGAACCACTTTCTGAGAAACTGCCACCAGGATACTGAACAGATTAATGCCACTTCCAGTGCTTCTCCCATGTCGGATTATCTCACATTTTAAATGAAGAAGTACAGTACATATTTTTAGATTTTATATACTGATTGTGACATTACCCTTCTTCTTGAGGGAAGCTGGCGACTGTTTGATTTTGTTTGTTTATTGTACTGCTTCGTGGTCCTGTGTGGATTAAGTTGTTCTGGTGCCCAGTGTGGGTCATTTAACCTCTTCCCAACATTAGGACATTCCTCCTCGACACAGTGGGCTTTGAAGGCGTTTTGGTGTCAGCAGGGTTAAATCAAAGAATCAATCGATAATGGGGCAGCCTTCTTTCAGCTGTGGCCCAGATTGACAGATTAGCTATACGCAGAGCTCTATGTGAGTGTGGTGACCAATCATTGTGTTTTTCTCATGTACAATATGCAGACGTTTTAGCATTACAGGGAGATATCACTGCAATGGTGAAAACAGCCAGTAGATAGCAGTAACACACTTTTAACTAGGAAATCCAACTGCATCGGACTGCTGAAAGAAAAATTCTTGAAGCTAAAATATGTTTTGAAAAGATATATATTGTTTAATTGTATGATTTTATACCATTTGATGTCACATATACAAGTATAACACAAAGCATTTCCTGTTAATATAGTACAAATGGGGGGGGGGGGTGACAAAGCATTCACAGATTTGCAAATTGTAATGTTTGCAATATATTCTTCATCAAATCACAGAATAATTAATTTGGATCCAAGTTAGTTATGCAAAATTGTAGGCGTAAACATTCGCGAGGCCAGTCACTAAAAAAGATGGAGAGAACACAATTTGTGACTCAAAATGATTTAAAATCACATGGTGCCATTTTACAAGGTGGCTGCGGTTGTACAATAAATGCATAAATATCTGGTAGGTTGCTGGTCAATTTATTTGTTTGACAATATGACCTGCTATGATTTTGATCCCAGTTAAAGCTTCACTACATGTTGGCTTTATTAGACTCATAGGAAGTAAAAAACCGTAGGTCCCTTTGTCTCGGAGTTCGAAGGTAAAAGAATACTTGATGCCAATATCGTAAGCCCAGTCATCAGAGCCTCCTGGTGCGAGATCTGTGAACAAAAACGCAAGTTACTTCTTGCAAGTGTATATTAAGTAAAAAGGCAGTGTTTACAATGAGCTGTAAGGATACTTCTAGTGGCTGTCACTTGGACACGCACTAAAGACCCTTACTGTTACTTCCTCCTTGCGGGAGCACCATTCAGCATCTTCATGCTCTGCATGAAGATGCCAAATGCTCCCCATATAGATTTATTGAGCTAATGCATCTCTGATGATTGAAAACAAAATGGCTTAATTTTCAGTCAGATGTAAATTTCTGTAATAGTTTTTATCTACTGCTCTGTAGGCTCCTGCAGGGTATAGCAAGCTATTAACAGAGTAGGAGATAAGAAATTCTAAATTAAGCAGAGTTTTCAATAAAGGAAGTGTAAACATTAGATAGTTCTTTACAAGAAGTGTTTGGGAAGGCTGTGTAAGTCACATGCAGGAAGGTGTGCCTAGTGCTTCATAAACATAGTGATTTAACTCCTAAGTGGCAGTGAATTGAGCAGTGAGACTGCAGGAACATTATCTATACACCAAAACTGCTTCATTAAGCTAAAGTTGTCCATTTAAGGTTTATTTGATTAACATAAACCAGAAGGACCAAGAGAGCCTTACATAGCAAGGTAATTGACTAACCGTTTATAAATTGTTTAAAGGGACACTATAGTCACCTGAACAACTTTAGCTTAATGAAGCAGTTTTGGTGTATAGAACATGCCCCTGCAGCCTTACTGCTCTATCCTCTGCCATTTAGGAGTTAAATCCCTTTGTTTATGAACCCTAGTCACACCTCCCTGCATGTGACTTGCACAGCTGTCCATAAACACTTCCTGTAAAGAGAACCCTATTTAGGCTTTCTTTATTGCAAGTTCTGTTTAATTAAGATTTTCTTATCCCCTGCTATGTTAATAGCTTGCTAGACCCTGCAAGAGCCTCCTGTATGTGATTAAAGTTCAATTTGGAGATTGAGATACAATTATTTAAGGTAAATTACATCTGTTTGAAAGTGAAACCAGTTTTTTTTTTTCATGCAGGCTTTGTCAATCATAGCCAGGGGAGGTGTGGCTAGGGCTGCATAAACAGAAACAAAGTGATTTAACTCCTAAATGACAGTATTGAGCAGTGAAATTGCAGGGGAATGATCTATACACTAAAACTGCTTTATTTAGCTAAAGTAATTTAGGTGACTATAGTGTTCCTTTAACAGATTACTATCGGACAACCCCGGTAGCTCCCAGAATCATATCCACTACAGCGCATGGTAGTGGTTATGGTTTTTAAGAGTATCTGTTTATGCAAATTTTACTTACAAATAGTTTCAGCTCCAGTGCCATATGCATATTTATTTCTATATGTTGCCCTCATGCCATCAGTCACTCTGTTTGCCAGTTGTTGCTAGATTTAAAAAAAGAAAAGCATTATTTGAAAATAGAATTCTTAGCAATATTCAATGTATTTATTTATTTACCTTTAAATTTAGGTGTTCATTCAAAAAGCTGTAATTTAAGCAAAAAATACACACTTTCTCAGTGCAGTTGGTAGTATCTGACTTTCCCATCATGGTTTCCAAAATGTAGACAGCCAAATAAGTAAATAAGTAAATAATGGTATTATGTGTTTTAAAACTTATTATGCACAGTTTGGGCATCGCTTTCTCCCTATTTATTTGGCTATCTCAATTTTGGAAAATTGTATTACAGGATCAGAACCTGTTAGAACCCCAGTGCTATGTCTACTCCCTTCCCCTTGCCCTAAAAAAATTAATAAATAGAAAAACCTCTTTGTGGCCCTAAGGACCACAATTTAAATTAAAGGACATCCAAATGGCAGTCCCCTTTTTTCTACACTTTACATATAGGACATGACTTTTATAAACAGCATTCCTTACCAGCCTAAGAGAGACTGCATATTTTTCCTTCCTTTCCACCTATGATATTCAGTGTGTAGGACTATAGTGTAAGTAACTACTCTCTCTCTCTGCATTCTCTTACTTACACCTGCAGCTGTGTTTGCGGAGTTAAGTTGACTCACTGGTTTTATTCAGTCTCCCCACTCCTCGTACATGGGGGAATAAGAGGAAACCAGCTCTGTGCCCCCTCTAGTTTGATAATGTGTCCTGAGGCCATCAAATGTCAACAATGTCATATTGAGTTACACAATTCACAAATAATATTAGTTCTAAACATTTGTTTACTGAAAGAAATGTTCTATGGGATATAGTTCCTACACAAATGAATGTAATTGTGCCACTAATTATTCATACCTGTTGACCGGGTGTTTGCTTTAGGGGTGCATGAATTTTGTTGATGTGTCCAGTATAGGTTTCTGCTCTGTTCTAGTTCTCCTGCCCCACCACCTGCTCCCTCAATCCCATTCCCTTGTATCTCATTCACACTCGGTCTCCTTCTCTTGCTCTGCCTCTCACTAAAATATGGAATCTCTCCTTCTCCTCTGACATTTTTCCTTCATCCTTCAAGCATGCAACCATAACCTCTGCTTCCAAAAAAGCCCAACCTTGACCCTAACTCCCCATCTAACTACCATCCTATTTCACTACTACCATTTGCCTCCAAGATCCTTGAGAGAGTTGTGTGTGTGTGTGTGCAGGATTGACTGACTTCTATGAATCTCTCTGCTTGATCCGCTTTAGTCTGGATTCAACGCTAGTCACTCAGCTTGTCGAAACGGCTCTGACCAAAGTATTAAATGAGTTAATTAATTTAATCTAGTGGTCACCATCCTAATTCTCATTGACCTTCCTGCTGCTTTCATCACTCTGTTTATGAGATGCTACACTCTCCTGGTTCCGCTTCTACCTCTCCCAACAATCTTTCAGTGTTTCTTTCTCTGGCTCTGCCTCTTCTCCACAACTCTTCTTTGTTGTTATTTCCCAAAGTTCTATATTTGGTCCCTTACTTACACCTGTTCACAATCTATACTCCCTTCCTTGGTAAACTCATGAGCTTCTTTTGGCTTCCAATATAATTTGTATTCGAAAGACATGCAAATCTATCTGTCTTCTCCCGATCTCTCGCTAACCTTATTGACTCATGTCTCTGACTGCCTCTCTGCTATTTCTAACTGGGTGGCTGCTCACTTCCTTAAACTTTGTGTCATTCCTCCCTCAAGTTTTGCTACTCCTAGGTCTGTCTCCCTCTAAGTCAATGGCACTATCATCAGCCTTACTTCACAGGCTCACTGCATAGGTGTTCTCTTTGACTTCAACCTCTCTTTCACCCCTCATGTGCAGTTGATCCCACCCACTTTGTTTCGGGTTGCCAATAAAGGGATATCATGTTAATATTAGTTCTCAGCTAGTTTCTGCTGGCACCTTGCACCTTTATTCATTGTTAACATAGGTAGGTGTTCCTCCGTATTTTACTGTTTAATTGGATGTAAAGTATGACTTCATTTTGTTCATCTTCATCAGTTACACTTTTTTTATGAACACATTCCAGATATCTTTACATATATTTTAAGTGCAAAAAAACCAAAAAAAAAACCAACAGGATTCCTACCAGTTCTTCATGGTCCTTGGTTTTCTTCTTTGTATAGGAATATGGAAAAAGCACCATCTGAGAGTAAGAGTGAATACTTATATACCCTTTAAGCACATCTAAGTTATTTTTTATAAAGTTTACAACCGCTTTCACTTCAGCTTCAGATTCTGGAAAAGGTCCACAATATATATCATGGCAAGGGTTACTGGACGCACCTGGACCTAGAAGAGACAACATGTTACAAGAGCTGTTATATATTCTGTCTGTACAATGTTTATTTACTGTATACCATTCATATTTCTATTACCATGATCTGAAATTGTACATCAAATTATAAATAAACCTATGTGTTGCTAAGAAAATGCATTGAGCATTGTACATCAATATACTCTGCTTTCCGGGTGGAGGTCTGAGTGCAGTGGTTTAGCTGGCTCCAGTGCATTTATCTCTCTACCTTGCTTTGTGGACCTGCTCTAGAGAAAACCGAGGGGATCAGTAAAACAGCTTATTGATGTTACAGTATAATAATGGTTTCTTTCTGTTACATTTGTATTGTATTCCTCTAGTGTTCTATATTTGGTTGGCAAATAGTGTAATTGAATGAGACAAATGGCTAGTCTGCTCAACCATTTCCCCCCCACCTCCTCCCCTGTTTGCCACTCCTATCTATAAATTCCTTTAAATAACTCTGTATCTCTACTCTTTAGGTCCACTCTTACATCCATCCCTGCAACAAGGCTATTTAATTTTACTTGGCTCAACCCGCCTACCCGCCCCTGTTCCCGGCCACCCACTCCTGCTCCCACCCACCCTGGTTCCTTCTAACTATATAGCATGCTCTTCCAGTTGCTTGGAACCACAGCCAATCACCTCTTCATTCCCTTCACATGCTATCAGCTACTGTAGCTATACTACTAACTCTCTCTGTCATCACATACAAATTCCTCTGCTACCTCTTGTCTCATCTCCCCATTTAACCTTTAGATTGTAAGGTCACGGGCAGGGTCCTCGGTCTGTTCTTATTGTGTTTGTCTTTTCCCAAATAAACAGCGCTGCGGAATATGTTGGCACTTTATAAACACCAGTAATAAATAAATCAAAATGAAAAAAAATATATATCTCAAATATATATATCACAAGTATAAATAGTGTTCACACAAGGCCAGGAGTTGATTCCCATTAGTTAATACATGAACTGATAATACATTAAAAATATGCAAACAATTAAAAAATATTTCAACTTAAAAAAGTTGATTTTAAAACACACATACCACACCACCCTGCATCAAAGTTCCGGTTTAGATCAGTGCCAGTACAGGTGCTGTTTTGATATTTGGAGCGATTCTTTCTCCACATTCGATTCTGTAGAAATAAAAATCATGAATATATTCATAGACATAAATAATAAACAGTATTTATAATTTACATTCCTTCTAACAAGGAAATGCACACCTACATATGCACATATTATATGAATTGTATTAATTATATGAATATAATCTTACCATAAGTGTGACCCTGATTGCTTGTGATTCTGATTTACCTTAATAGCAGTATTTTCCGAATTAAGAATGCCTTGCTGAACATTCTGAGACAGAACTGGAATATCAATTCTGGAAAACTATATTGATTGAGGATGAGAAGTACCTGTGTTACTCATTCTTCCAGAAAGGCTATTGCAGAGGTAAGTGTTCAGCACAAAGATACTATTTACTTGACGTCCAAACGTACAAGAATTCTAAGTATGTGCATTACTACCTTTGTGTATGTGTAAATACAGACAGAGATCATTAGGTATCAAACTAATATTTTAATAGCCTTTAGATTTAAAAAAAAATATATAGTCATATTCAGAGAACTTTACATATTTCACAATTCAGCATCTTAGATGTTTTGATATTTTCATGTCATACAAGATTATGATTTTTATTAGGAAGTAAGCTTATCCTCTTTTTTTTTTTTTTTTTTAAATGTTGTCTTCATACAGTTGTGCTCAAACATTTGCATACCCTTGGAGAATTGGTAATATATGTACAATTTTTAAAGAAAATATGAGTGAGCAGGCAAAACATATTTCTTTTATTTCTTATGGGATTCTTATTCATCTTTAGGTTATAACAGAATGGCACAATCATGAAACAAAACATGGCAGCGAAGAAAAAAATATAAAGACCCCTGTTCAAAAGTCTGCATACCCTTAGTTCTTAATACTGTGTATTGCCCCTTTTGGCATCAATGACAGTGTTTCGCAATAGTTGTCTATGAGGCCCCTAATTCTTGCAGGTTGTATAGCTGCCCATTCATCTTGGCAAAATGCCTCCAGGTCATGCAAAGTCTTTGGTTGTCTTGCATGGCCCGCATGTTTGAGATTTCCCCAGAGTGACTTGATGATATTAAGGTCAGGGGACTCTGATTGCCACTCCAGAATCTTCACCTTTTTCTGCTGTAACCACTGGATGGTCAACTTGGCCTTGTGCTTAGGGTCATTGTCATGCTGGAGAGTCCAAGAGCATCCCATGCGCAGCCTTCGTGCAGAAGAATGCAAATTGTCTGCCAGTATTTTATGATAACATGCTGGATTCATCATCTTGCCATCAATTTTCACAAGATTCCCTGTGCCTTTAGAGCTCACACGCCCCAAAAGCATCAGTGAGCCACCACCATGCTTCACAGTGGGGATGGTATTCTTTTCACTATAGGCTTTGTTGACCCCTCTCAAAACATAGCGCTTATGGTTGTGGCCATAAAGCTCTATTTTGGTCTTGTCTCTCCAAATTACAGCATGCCAGAAGCTGTGAGGCGTATCAAGGTGTTGTCGGGCATATTGTAACCAGTCTTTTTTGTGGCATTGGTGCAGTAAAGGCTTCTTTCTGGCAACTAGACCATGTAGCTAATTTTTCAAGTATCATTGTATTGTGCTACTTGAAACAACCACACTGTTTTTTTCCAGAGCAGCCTGTATTTCTCCTGAGTTTACCTGTGGGTTTTTCTTTGTATCCAGAACAATTCTTCTGGCAGTTGTGGCTGAAATCTTTCTTGGTCTACCTGACCTTGACTTGGTATTAAGAGATCCCTGAATTTTCCACTCCTTAATAAGTGATTAAACTGTACTGGCTGGCATTTTCAAGGCTTTGGATATCTTTTTATATCGTTTTCCAATATTATAAAGTTTCATTACCTTGTTACGCAGGTCTTTTGACAGTTCTTTTCTGCTCCCCATGGCTCAGTATCTATCCTGCTCAGTGCAACCACGTGAGAACTAACAAACTCATTGACTATTTGTACGCAGACACTAATTGCAATTTAAAAAATTAACCTTTAATTGCCATTTTAACCTGTGTGTGTCACCTTGCATGTCTGTAACAAGGCCAAACATTCAAGGGTATGTAAACTTTTGATCAGGGCCATTTGTGTGATTTCTGTTTACATTGTGATTTTAAAAGGAGCAAAACAACTATGTGATAATAAATGGCTTCATGTGAGCACTATCCTTCAATAAAATACATTTTTTTATATGATCAGTCATATTTTCAAAATCTCACAATTTCTGCCAGGGTATACAAACTTTTGAGTACAACTATAACTGAGTTGCGTAATCCTCCAGGTGAGAGTACACCTGGACTTGTCTACTTCCATAACGGTATGATAAAGTTATTGTGCTATCTTGAATGGATTTTGCGTATTAATACATAGTACAGTAGTTAATCTATGTGCAGGAGCCCTTGTTTAATTCCCTATCCTTTTTAAATGTATACCATTCAGTCAACCACAGAATCACTTTTTAATTTTTATTAGTTTTATTGTTATTGTTATCAATTGTTTATTTTTTATAAAACAGTTTTTTGGTCCACCCCCATTTGGATGCCATGTAACGTAAGAAATCCTGAATAACCTGTTATTTAATAAATTATTCTGACTGCAACAAAGCATGGTGTGCCTGTTTCTGTTTAATGTGTAAAATACTTACAGTTGTCCATGTGTAGTGATAGCCATCAACATTCATTACTGGTAAAACATAAAAATCAATATATTTCAGTAGCTTCGTCATGGTTTTATCAGTCCCATAGAACCCTACAGCCTAAATATGAAACATTAAAAAGAATAAAAGGGCACTTTAGTATTTAGATTATTAAAAGATTTAACAACATGGCAAGATGTTTATTTAAAAAAAAAAAATGTAATTATTTCAAGTCATTCAAGATAAGTTTTGCAAATGGCACTCACTTTAGTCTGCTTTACAAAACTCTGGTGTGCCATGGTTACAGTTCCTACCTTACTGTCGTAGTAGGAAAATACAACTGAGCACCACTTGTGGAAGTACCATGGTCACAACGGTCCTTATATTTAAGAACTCTTATGATACATCGAAATGTCTGCTGTGCAATATTATGGTTAATCTTTGAAAGTGTTTCACTTGATGGGTATAATTTCAAGTATAGTAATATTTCTACAAATCAAAACAGTATTGTGGTACTTACGTGTCCTACAAACCACATGCAAAATGCTGGGGAAATCCACTCCCTTGCATGTATCCCGCAGTCAATCCAGATTGCAATTTTTGTGCCTTTCGCTTCCTCTTCCATTCCTTTTTTTCCCGATAGCTGGAAAAAATTATATATCATTATAATGCTGTATTATTTCTTTTCAAATTGGCTAGCAGTTTATGAGATAAATCAAAACAAAAGGTCCACATGTACCAAAATCTACTATGTATCTAAATCACATTAATAATCCTTAAACTGTGATCATTGCACACTACTTTAAATACGGCTTTGTTTCTTATGGGTTGCTCATTTTTAGATTTATTTTTTTTTTATATCTCAAGCATGCTGGAGGGTTATTGGCAGTGTAACCTCAGAACCAGTGCCAGATAGCTGTAAATGACTTGCAAAAGTTTACATTTATAGTAACTCAATAATTGTGTGCTACCTTTAACACCTGAAGGGGTCGGTTCTCAAATGAAAATCCAATGTTAAATTTCTCCACCATGTCAGGATTTTTCTCTGCCATTTGCTCCATCCAGTAGTAAATCTAACATGAAAAAAGACCAAAACATTTTTGATGTCTTTTATAGAATAAAAGTAAAATTACACTAGTAAATGCAAGATTTAAAATCCTCTATAACCTGTGTTAAAGGACCACTATAGGCACCCAGACCACTTCAGCTTAATGAAGTGGTCTGGGTGCCAGGTCCATCCAGGGTTAACCCTGCCTGCTGTAAACATAGCAGTTTCAGAGAAACTGCTATGTTTACTAATGGGTTAATCCTGCCTCTAGTGGCTGTCTCATTGACAGCCGCTAGAGGCGCTTCCGTGCTTCTCATGGTGATTTTCACAGTGAGAAGACACCAGCGTCTATAGGAAAGCATTGAGAATGCTTTCCTATGGACTGACTGAATGCGTGCGCGGCCGCGCATACGCATTCGGCGGAAGAGGGAGGAGAGTTCCCAGTGCCGAGGGAGCACGGCGCTGGAGAAAGGTAAGCCTTTAACCCCTTCCTCCCCCCAGAGCCCGGCGGGAGGGGGGCCATGAGGGTGGGGAGGGACCTATTAACACTATAGTGCCAGGAAAACGAGCTTGTTTTTTCTGGCACTAAAGTGGTCCTTTAACCTTTTAATCCTATGATGCTTTGTTTTCTTATATATGAAAGTTAAACATTTTGCAGTTGATATCAAAATTCAGTTCAGTCCAGGTAGAGCCAAAGCACACATTTTTATTGGAGGAGAAGAGCAAAAATTTGAGTTGTGAACAAGGCCGGACTGGCCCACCGGGATACCGGGAAATTTCCCGGTGGGCCGCGGCACCTGAGGCCAGGCAGACAGCCCTGATCATCAGGCTAATGTTATTTAAATGATTTTCCCCTCGGACTGTGCCAGCTTCTGTGGAGTAAGGAGGGAGGAGCTGAGGGCTGGTGTGGCCGCAATTAGGCAATGCGCAATGCGGCCGGAAGGAGACCTGTCAGTCTCCCTGCACTATTTACCTCAATTTCTGCTGCATGCCCCACCCCCGAATGCAAGCCCCGCTCCAGCGCACAAGCTCCGACCCCACACGCACGTTGCTGACCTCTCTGAGAAGAAGAGGTCACAAAATGGCAACTTCACCTACAAGTGCCAGGTAAGTTTCAGCCATGACTGTGGGTGTGTATATGGCTGCTAGTGAGTGAACTTTTGTGTGTATGTGTGTGTGCCTGCTAGTGAGTGAACTTGTGTGTGTGTGTGTGCTTGCTATTGAATGAACTTAAGTGTGTCTGTGTGTGCCTGATAGTGAGTGAACCTGTGTGTGTGTGCCTGTTAGTGACTGAACTTGTGTATGTGTGTGTGCCTGATAGTGAGTAAACTTGTGTGTGTATGTGGCTGCTAGTGAGTGAGCTTTGTGTGTGTCTGCTAATGAGTGAGTTGTGTGTGTGTGTGCCTGATAGTGAGTGAACTTGTGTGTGAGGGAAACAGACATGGATGGAAGGGGGGTAGAAGTGAGCGGAGTGGAGTGTGCAGCCACTCATTACTCTGCCTGGAGATTACAGAGGGACTAGGGGGCGAGCGGTGAGGAAAGTGTGTCTACCTATCTGGCTGAGACTGCAGTTTGCAGAAGCACTGAGGGAGCTAGCGGAGCGGACACTTCAGACAGTGGCATTACTACTGAGATGGTAAGTAACTTGAGGTGAAGCATTTGAGTGAATTATATATATGTACCCAGGATTAAATATTGTTTGCAGGAGAAGGATACAAGTAATTTTAGTTTGTGTTGGTCTAGGACAAACTCTTTTTTTGTGTGCGGCCCACATAAACTTATGCCTTGTTTTTTTGGCCCGAGTTAGCCTTTGAGTTTAACATTTATAAGCAACACACATAGAACTTGAATGAAAATAATATATAGATGGTATCTGGTCCAAGCTAGGCTAATTCACATTATAGGTAAACGGAATGGGGAATGTTATAAACGTCAGTTAGACACAGGCACTACTAGATGTGTGTAGTAGCTGCCCACTGATATCGATGTACTGGTCGAGAGTACATACAATGTTATACAATAAAAAAGGGGTAAACCTTCCACCCACTGTTGAATCCTATTTGCTGTTTATGCTGCCTATGTATTTACTTAAACATAGCTTAAAACTTATATTTCCTATGCTGATAGCAGAAAACACACTAATTGCGAGGAATTGGAGATTACCCATGGTAGCCACAGGCACAGACATAGAGTCCTCTGACGTGTTCATATGAACATATGATGTTTATACCAGGCCGTGGTAACAAAACAACAAAGAAAGCTTGCAAATTGTGGGACACCTTCCTTGGACAAACTGGGTTTATGATGATGGCATTACATGTTAGCATTAGTCGATCAAAGCTATTATTGACATTGTGTGCTGGAGGTGCGTTCAAATGTGGCCTTAAGAAAATTAAATCCTTAATGATAATGGGATGCACGTGAATGTGTTTGTCACAATATTCCTGTATATTATAACACTCATGTTTTGAAACATTGTTGCACGTATATCTATGTGATGTGTGGTACTGAAGTGTAAGACAAATGCAAGGAATCCACTCATACCCTATCCTCTGTCTTCCCCTCCTTTCTCTATCTTACTTGTTGCCCACTATATCATTTTGATTTTGATTTACTTTTGTACTTCTGTACTCTACATACAGCATTCAACTCAATGTATATCACTACATAATGTTATTGCATCCAGTAAGCTGCAAGTCTTTGCATTCTATCTCTTTTTATATAAACCTTAATAAACTGTCATATTGAAAAAATATATATATTTTCCAACTTGTGAGGGATCAGAAATTGGTTCTTTAGAATCAATAAACAAATTCATTAGGTAGCCTATATATCTTCTTTTATTGCAATATGACTGTTTGTGGAATCTGACTGAGAATCAAACAGTAGTTCATAAGCAGCTCAGTTACCATTGATAGCCATTTCTGCTATGTACCATACCATGTAGATATGTCTGCAATATTGGAAAAAGGTCTTACATCATCTAGGCTGTGATACTGTTCATAATAGGACACGCTGCTGCGTTGACCGACAGAATCATTGAATGTTTGCTGTTCAATTAGGCTTTGTGCATCTTCAACAAGGACCCTGGATTATAACAAAAACATGTATTTGGACAATAACGATAAAAAGTTGCGATAGAAAAAAATATAACATTCAGGTAGGTCAATATTGCAGTTGCAAGTCATGGATCACTTACGTGTAGGTAAATCCAGATTTATCAAGCTGGGTCTTCACTTCATCAACTGCAGACACATTAACATAGAAATGGACTTCATTGTTCTTTACTATATGATCAGAAGAGTCCGGTTTCCACAGAATAACCTAAAAATGTATTTTTAATTAGTTTAGAAGATTTAAAAAAATGGTTACTTAATTCAAATTATTACTTCCAAATTGTAAAAGCTACAGTCTTAATATAGTCTGATTGAAGTCATCTGGGTATAGTGGTCCTGTCATATTAACCCTGCAATGTATAATAATTTTTTTTTAGAAGTTGCTGTGTTTACATTGCCGGGTTAAATCCAGCTCTACTGGATTCCTAACAGCCACTAGATGTGCTTTCTCCTCCAGACTGGATTTGGAGAATCAAATACTGCAGATTGGAGGAGTGCTGCATGTTGCTGTGAATGCACGGAAAGCACTGGATTGGACAAGATCACGGGTGATATTGGCGTGGCTGTTGACATCACCAGAGGTTGAGCAGGAGGCTGCAGCAGAGGAGTGCCGGCCCTGGACATAATGGTTGATAATCTTGGTCCAATACTTAGATAAGCATTGGTGACCTACAGTGCATGCACAACAACTGCTACACTCTGCCAGTCTGATGCCTCTTATGCCCTTAAGGACACATGACAAAAATGTTCCGTCATGTTGGCCTTTTTCTCCTGAAGCTGTGTCCTTAAATGGTTAAAGTGAAGCACTAAATCATAATTCAGGCAACACCATTATGATGAGTCCAGCTTGCAGGCAAAGCTCGTGTCAAGTGCTTAATTTAAAACTACTACTCTTCTACCTTTTCCATAATCTAGCAACTTGTTCACATCAGCTGGCAAATACTGTGGCATAGTTATTTCTTAATTCGGACAGGACAGTTGAAGGAACACCCATCTTTTTTCACTCTAACTCCATTTGTACTTACCTGCACTATACACATTAGGGTACTTGGTATGGGTTGAGGTGCTCCACAGGCAAAATTACTCCATTCATTGAGCGAAAGGATCCTTTTGAGCATAGATCTAGGAAGGTAGCAGGGGACTCCTACTTGCAATAAGTGTTTACTGATTTATATAGGGACAAAAATATTGAGCTTACTGATTTATAAAGGGACAAAAAAAATATTGGACTTTTGTTTCATAATTAAAGTGGGTATGGAATACAAATAAAGAAGAGGAAATACAATCTATATATTTTATTGCCTTTGATGTCCATTTGAGCACTATCACTATGTTGATTTGAGTGCTATTACTATGTTGACTTTTTAAATTAATTTAATAAAAATTAATTATTACTAAAGCCACTGTTTCTTTATGCTGTGCATGATGACGTGAAACATGAATACCTTCAAAAATCTAGTCTTTAATGAGGAAGTTCAAGTACCTTTACTGGATGTGTGCTGACAGCAACAGCAAACAGAGGCATGGTTTAAGCAAAATGTTGGCTTTTTACTGAAACAGTAAAGCTTTACATTGCCATACATAAGGAATAGAGTCGGTCTTTGTGCCACAACCTCTTCATTAAGATTAAGTGATAATCGGACTCTTTTGGTACATTTGTAATGACAGACATGCTGCTTAATAAGATGGAGTAAGAGCTTGACACATCCCTAGCTAAGATGCAGTGGACACAGGTGTGTGACATTTGATGATGTAAATATCGCACTCAGAGCAATGATTAGAGAAGGGCAAAATGTGTGTATGCACAAGTCTACTTAGTGTACAATTTGTGCAATTCCATCTGTTTTCACTTCTTTTCCCATGCAAGTCTAAGATTGTTTTTCTTTTCTTTTTACATCTTTTAGTTTGTATGTGGTTATCTCGTGGTGGTTTGCTAGTATTTGTAGATTTTTTGCTCACAGGTATATGGACTAAAAATCTAATCCTGCTACTAGCTCGCTAAGACCCAGAACAACATCGTATGTATCATGCGGCAATGATTTCACTTTGGACATCAAACAAACTGTTATGGAGGAGTGTTCTTTATTTACCTTGTGCTACTCTCCCCAGCAATCGCTTCTACAGGTGGTCATCATTTAGCGACCTACCTGTTTTACAAATGTCTAAGTTTCCCCGAACATAGACAAGCGCACCAGAGCAAGAAATCCTTCAAATCTATGTTCGGGGAAATTCCCCCGAACATAGATTAGAGGGGTTCTCTGCTCTGGTGCGTTCGTCTATGTTTGGGGACGTTTCCCCGAACATAGACGAACGCCCCAGAGCAGGGAATCCCTTAACTCCTCACTTACCGACCAATTCGTTCTACGACCGGGTCGTAGGAACGGAACTCGGTCAATAAGTGAAGAGTGTTTGTATACTGTTTACAATAGTGAAGGAGCGAGGAACTGTATCAACATGACACTTTAAAGCCAATTTTCTTTGCATAAGAATATTTAAAATGTTTTAAATCTCTGTTTATAAGGTTGAGAAGAGGATGTATCATTATGTATGTGAAAACTCCATTAATTGTTTTTTCAGAGCTCTCTGTACAAAATACCCAGTAGCATGTGAGTAAGATTTAAAGGGACACAATAGTCACCAGAACAACTACAGCTCAATGTAGTTTTTCTGGTGAGTATAATCATTACCTTCAGGCATTTTCATGCAAACACTGCCTTTTCAGAGAAAAGGCAGTGTTTATATTGCCCCTGGAGGTGCTTCATGGGGCAGTGCTGCACACTGTGCACTGCTGTTCAGGGTCTCCACGCTCTGCATTGAGACGCTAAATTCTCCAATGCATGTCTATAAGGAGGTGCTGATTGGCCAAGCCGGCGTCTGGCCCCACCATCGTCCCACCTCCATGCCGATTTCAGCCAGTCCAATGCTTTCTCTATGTTCATTTAATATATCAAAGTAAAACTGCCTTAACTAATTCATTGACTGTTCCAATTTATAGGTATAGTTTAGGATGCTGGAAATGCAATACATTTAACACTTGAGGAACACATGTAAATTACATCATGGCCTCAATTTAATTATTTTGGATACACTATTAAAATGATAACAAACTTTGCAAATAATTTATCTACACAAAATCCCATAGACTTTAATGGTGACTTCTGTAGATAAATAATTTGAAAAGTTTTTCTAACAGATTGTGATCATTTGAAAGATTATCCAAAAGAATTAAATTGAGGCCTATATAAACTAACACAGTAAAATACATGTAAATGCTCTACTACCTCTGACATGGAGGTGATATTCTTTATAACGTCAACATGAGCGTCAGTCCGTGGCCGAACATTTAACACCTGGTCACTCCTAAGAAAATAAATCACTCAATCAAGTAAGCATTGGAACCTGAAAAACACAGTTGACACACAAACAAGCCATCTCTTCATAGTCTCGCTATCTTCATAAACATAGACCTCTAGCACTCAGTAAAAAACTCTGTAGTTGTATACAGGGAATGCACCTCACTACTTTAATGGGTGTTATATTTTAGTCCAGCATGACTTTGTGAGGAAACAAATTTTAATACGAGTCAAAACCCAAATTATTTAACATAACATTTCCCCTTGGAGAGGTGGGTCAGACAGCCATCTAGAGTAGCAGGACAATTTGGAGCTTGTGAGCAGATTTTCCAGTTTCAGCTAAAAAGACAGATTGGACATTATATACAAATCTGCAAAGACTTTGAGTTTTTTTAACCAAACCAACCAACAAGTATTATGAATGTTTTTGTAGAGCTTTTTTGTCAGGACTTACCTGTCGGCTTCTCCGCTTCCGATACTTCCGGGTTGACGGAGCAACACCATGCCCCCTTCATTGACGTGGCTTCCTCTCGCAACTCAGGGAGACTGCACCAGTTTCAAGTGCTTGATTATTTTGAGGCTTCCTCAAGATCTTCAGACCGGCTGCAAAAGAGCTCTCTCACTAAACTACTTTCCCGTGTACCGAACCTGGACCGTTTACCGCTGACCTCCATTCTCCTATCCCTGACCACGTATTGACTTAAGTTTTTCTACAGCTTCTCACATTGGATTTATCTTCTCTGAGATTCCATATTAAGGAAACTGCAAGTGGAATTGGATCTCATTCCCCAGCTAGTCCTAAGTATTAAAGGACCACTGTAGTGCCAGGACAACATACTCGTTTTCCTGGCTCTATAGGGTCCTTGGGTCCCCCTCCCGCCGGGCTCTAGGGTGAGGAAGGGGTTAATCCCTTACCTTTTTTCCTTTTTCAAGCACTCTCCTCCTCCTTTCCCCGTCATCGGCTGAATGCGCATGCACTGTGAAAAAGCGTGAGAAGCGTGGAAGCGCCTCTAGCGGCTGTCAATGAGACAACCACTTGAGGCTGGATTAACCCATTTGTAAACATAGCAGCTTCTCTGAAACAGCAGAAAGGGTTAATCCTAGATGGACCTGGCACCCAGACCACTTCATTAAGCTGAAGTGGTCTGGGTGTCTATAGTGGTCCTTTAATTCTCTTCTCACTCAGCTGTGATGATTATTTGATTGTATCTATCCTCGGTAATTCCAATACTTTTTTGCTGCGTAATTGCTACTCTTCCTGCTTCTAGCAACTAACATATTGGTGTTCCTAATATGAACTGAAACTCACTTGCCATCACTACCTTAATTTTCTAACTGCTGCAACGTCTCCTCTACTTAAGCTTCTCAGCAAACTACCTTTAACCCGGAAATCCTTAAAGCAACAGGAATTGTTCTAGTTATATCTAATCCTTTTTCCTCATCTAGGAATTTAACTGTTTATATCCTCTGCAGTTGCGTTCCACTTTAGTTCCCGCAATTAGCATAACATTTTTGAGGATTCTGTGATTTTACTGAGGAGCTGAGGCCTAGCATACAGTTAGTGTAGGAGAGGTGGCTGCACTCCCACCCTCGCCTATTCCATATCGAATTCAGTAAAGACCCAACTTACTGTGGGTTACTTCTCTGTGTTCTGGTGTGGGTCAACACAGAATCATAAGAGCATTCAGCACAAAGAGGCTCACAGTCGGAGTCACCAGTGATAAGATGGGGCCAAAATGGCTGTTGTTATGTAGCTACAGAGCCATGACATGCCTTGATATCAAGCAGTCTTTACAAAAGATGACTGGATTTATATTTTTGAAGCCTTCTAGCTGAAGGTCAGCCTTACATGCCACAGTACCACATCCTTGGGATACAGACTATTCTGATCGATGTCATTAGAGCAAACTGAAGAAGAAATCACTGCTTCTTCTGTTTATTGAGAAGTTAGTATTTGTTTTTTTATGTTTATTATGTTGCATTCTTAAAGGGTCACACCAGACTGCTAAAACTCTTTAGCTTACTGAAATGCTTTGTGTTTGAACTGTGTGCCTTTTGTTCATATTACAAAAAGTGCAGATTTCAACAAAAATGTACACTTTTATAAATTAAACTTGTGACACCCCCGTGGCTGTCAATCAAACAATGGGCCCTGTTACTTGGGGGTTTGGTTAGCTCAGTGGAGCCAAACTCAAGAGGCAGCAATTGTCCACAGCACCTGCCTTGCAAAGACTTCTCATTGAGCTACATTGGGAAGTTTGTGATTGGACAGCCACAGAAAGTGTGGGCTGGGGAAGAAAGGGAGGGCCTGCAAAGGCTGCAAGCAAGAGACTTAAAGCTCCTGCAAGTTGTTTTGAATATAGTCCCAAATGTAAAATACATAATTAATGCATGTGTGTGTTCATTGGGAATATATCTACTAAACAGTGATTTTTATTTCAGCAGTGATATGACCCTTTAACTTGGTGTGTCCCTATATATAAGTGACTTCCTCTATTTTATGCTCTTTGATTTTTAACACTCAGCGTGGACAATCTATTGCCCATCTTAGTTTGGAACAATGTATGAATGTTAATGCTGATATTTGTTCTTTGTATACTAAGATTCATATATAGAATTTGTTTTTTATATGGTTTGAATGTTGTCCTTATGTATCTACACACAATAAAATTAAAATAAAAATAGAATAAAAAGGTTGTCACAGAAAGTCACTTTTCTCCCTATTCTTTCTTGCTGGGTCTATCCCTGGCTCTCTTGTAGAAAGAAGATGCCATGACGTCACAATCGTGTCAAAATGAACCATTGCTTAAAACATGGATTTACAATTGTTTAACTAAATACTTGCAGTACATATATGACCGTGTTATACCTTTTCTAAACATTTTAAAATATTTTTATTTACAATTACAGATAGGAAAACAAAATTAAAACTACACATTGGCTTTATATTTTTACAAAAACACTAATAGGGCTACTTTAGATTAAATTTTACCATTCAGATTTAATTTACTAGAATTCCGTGAACAACACTTAAATATATTTTCACCACTATGAAAGGGTATATATATATATATATATATATATATATATATATATATATATATATATATATATAGCCCCATTGATAGTGGTGACAATCATTATATATTGATTAACAAAAAGCCCCTGAACACTATAGCGTTAGGAATACAAATGTGTGCTGTAGTGTTACCCTACCTATTCAAGTGTATCCACCCTCCTCCTCCTCCCCCCCTGTGAGGTTTTAAAAGGTAGTTCTTACTTGCCTATACTTCCTCACCATGCTGGTCTTGTCACAGCTGCCCCAGCTTCCTGCCTGATTGATATCAGCAGGATTGATGATTTCAGCCAATGAAATGCTTCTCTATGGGGAAGCATCGGGAGGCTAGTGCGCATGCACTGCAAAACGCTGCACTGCTCCAATCAAATGCTCTCTTTGAGCAGTATTTGATTTAATAAACAAATCAGGAAGACAGCCACTAGAGGTGTGTTTAGCCCTGCAACCACCATTGAGATTTAGTTGTCTGGTTCCCTCTGGTGGTCCTTTAAGCGATCTACTACATTTGCTGAATTTCCTTAACATCAATGCTATGGAAGGGCTTCTTGGGGCATAGCACAGCTCTGACTTATGACAGAAGAAATGCATGGGGTTAGACAGATACAAAAGACAAAGGCTCAGTAAAATGCATTGGATTAAAGACATGGAAAGTAAGAGAGAGTGCTTAAATATAGAAAGGTCGGGATAAACAAGAGGGGAAGGTAAAAAAAAGACAAGCTAACAGACCTGAGGGGAGTGGTGACTGAGAAAGAACTAATAAACCACAGGTACAAAACAAAAACATTTCACCACATGACGATGTTTGAGAAGATTTTCTCTAACATTCTAGAGCCAATTAAAATACAACAAATGTTACCTGGTAACAGTGGCCAAATGATTCTTCTGAATGAAAAGGGCCAATATTAGAATCAATAAAGGCAACTTCATTTCTGACTTGGTCTGTAAAACAAAGACGCATAGAAAGCTAGTGTGGAAGGTTTTTTTAGAGTCTCCCACCAATTGGTGAGGTATTTGCACTATGGTTAAACATTAATACGTACTCCCTATATTGCTAACAAAAACAGGTTATTACTCAAATTCTGTTTATTCTTTGACAATATAATGATACAAGTGAAAATGTAAAACTCAGCAGGATTTCTCAATCACAGTTTTATTCATTCCATGGTACTCAGCATTGTTTAAGGATATTAATTCCAAATGAAATTTGGTAATAGGGGTAAATCACAATCCACATAATCCCAATCTAAATTTCGCTGATGATTTTACTGCTGGTGACGCCACTAAAGTCAGAAAATGTTATCAAATTAAAACCGAGCCTTAATCATAATTTAGTTGTTAATTTTGCAATGTTAATCTTGACAGACCAATTCAAGTTGTAAATGACAAAAAAATAAATAAATCTGTCACTTTCGCAGGCCTTTCACTAGGTATCTGACAGCTCTAATGATGCAAATAGGTGATGCATTTGTCATTAACCTTTAATGTTTCATATGAACATTGCAGTGTGTGGTTCTTTAAAGGAATGCTCCAAGCTCACTGTAGGTTATGGTGTCGGGAGTGGCTTGGCGCCATCTCACGTTAAGTAGTCAAACCAATTTAATATGGTTTGACAACTTACCTGGGACCTACAGGGCACCAGCAGCTGCAGCCACTGCTTCCAGTCTTCAGAATCTTTAGTATAGATTTGGTAACGTTGCTTGTAAATGTCAACAAATCAGAGAGGTGTTTGTGGAGTTACTTCTGCACATGCGCAAATACTTTAGAATGTGCTTTTAGTGGTTTATCGATTGCTTTTTGTTTGAAATTTGCTAAATGTCTGAAGCAGTAATCAATAAAGCTGGAATAATGATCCATTATAATTTCATTTTATCAATGAAATTATATAAAAATAATGACATTCATCATTAGTGATGTCGCGAACCGTTCGCAAACTTTTCGCGAAGGGTTTGCCACGGTTCGCCACGAACTGTTCACGGCGAACTCCGGTCAGCTGACACATCCCGGCCAATCTCCAGCAGACCCTCCCTCCCAGACCCTCCCATCTCCTGGACAGCATCCATGTTGAAGCTGCCTTCAACATGGATGCTGTCCAGGAGTTGGGAGGGTCTGGGAGGGAGGGTCTGCTGGAGATTGGCTGGGATGTGTCAGCTGACCGGAGTTCGCCGCGAACGGTTCGTGGCGAACCGTTCGCAAAAAGTTCGCGAACGATTCGCGACATCACTATTCATCATACATTTAAAGCCGGCATGGAGCCCATAGGATATGGGAGTAAGTCACATTTGCCGTTTCAGATGAAACTATGGCCGTTTACAAATTTGCGAGCTCCTAGAAGGGCTGAGACGACCAAGTCAGCTTCTCATATACAATTTAAAGTGACACTGTGAGAACCAAAACCACATCAACTTAATGAAGTGGTTTTCATGAACAAATGCTGCCCCTTTTGTCTGACATTGTAAAATTATCTGTGAGAAGCATTGGATTGGAAAAAATCTACAGATTTAATGACTGACTGCACTGAGGACACTTTCCTGGTGCTGGATTACAAGTACGTTTTATGGCATTTTACAATTTATTTTTTATGTATAAAGTCAGTAAATTAAACACATTAAGGTACACTTTTATACATTTTTTTTTTTTTAACGCTCCTTTAACACCTATAAATCCTAAGCACCATAATGATTACAGCTCCTTCTGGAGGTGGTTGAGATGTAGAGTCAGTGAGTACCGTCAATTTATGTCCAATCATTTTCACACAGTTTGCTGTATCAAAGATGGTGAAAATCGAATCAATGAGTTTAAGAAAGGCATAAAAAAAGCATGATTTGAATTCGCTTTGACATAAGATATGTTCTGATCTTCAAAATAGATAAAGTAAAACAAGAATGCAAGTATTTTCTGAAGGGACCACAGTCTTTCTCCAGTGGGTTATTCACAACTAGGAAGCTGTACAACTAGGATGTTGTAATGCGCCAACAAATTCTGCAGCGCTGTACAATTAAGGGAGAACGTACAATATACACAGACAAATACAAAAGGTAAAGAGGGCTCGGCCCGTAAGCTGAGATCGAACCATTAAATCTCTTTTACACAAAGTGCTTAGTGAGCATACAATCTATTTACACCTATTCTTGACATGCAGCAGTTACTATACGTATGGATTGTATGAAATAATGGATAATAATGGATTCATGAAAAATAATGACATTCTTTCAGCTTGTCAGCTGTAGCTAACGATACAATGATATATATAAAACAAAAAGAATCCTTGCACTCACGCTTTCTTCAATATTGCCGGGTGCCAAAGCCTGAAGGCTGGTTCAAATAGAGTATCCACAAGTAAGGCTGCACTCCACGGTCTTCTTAAAAATCAAAGTGCTTTATTGGGTATACATTAAAATGATCAACGTTTCAGCTCCACGTTGGGCTTTCCTCAGGATCAAAAAATATATATATTTGCTGCCTTACTGGTGGATACTCTCTCTCTCTATATATATATATAATATATATAAGTATATATATACATATTTATATGTTCCTTTTTACACACCATTAAATTCTGTACAATACTAATGTAGCTCTATGTTGCTTATGCATTGTATACAGTTGTAAAGTCTCAGCTTTGCTATAAACAATGAAACATTCAGAATTGCATTATTTTGATTTTGAAAACAATCAGAATTGACTATTCATGCCAGAAAAAACTTAACAAAAAAAAGCAAATTATTCTGCGACAATTTGATAAACCTCCCCATCTGAATCCAGAACCAATTCACTAACCGTTGTGTAAAATCTTTAAAGAGGCTCTACAAAAGATGAGCGTAACTGTAGTTTTCAGCAGAGTAAGCACACAGTCATTCAGTTTGTTAGAAAGCAACACAACAAAACCAATTCTATGATTCTTCTCTCCTGTGTGACAGTATCCATTTAAATGCACAGCTTTTAATAGAAGAGTAAAAAATCTTATTTGTGAAAGCAGACAGAAAACCAATCATGAAGGTCATCTTAAACAAATATTTGTTAACATCTGATCTTTGTTCCCGTAACTCTGTGGGCTAGTATAGGAATCAGTTAGTCAAACATGTACAAACAGGTCCTTTTTCTGAGTACATCTAATCATCTGTGATACATTTTGTATATTTACCAACTAAATTCTGAAATAGTTGTGAAGTATTAATATATTATTTATATAGTGCTAACAGGTAGAAAAAAACTTTACAGGTTGAATGTATTAACACGGAGTTCAGTTTTTAAGATCTTGATTGATCGTGAGACTTTGCGAATATATTAGGAGAGAGAGAGAATTCTAAAGGTAGGGGGAGACATGGCTCCAGCTATTAGTCAAGATACAGACTTAACGTTTATAGCAGGCATGTACAGATGCTATGGATATAGCTAGATCGACCCAGGTTTTCCTCTGATATCGGGGATTTGCTGCGCATACTACATGGCGAGACTAGGCCAGAAATTGCAACGGAACTGGATGTTTTCTCTGATGCATCGGATTACTATCCTCTCTACAACATGGAATATCTGGGCTATACGAGACCACCCAAGCCCCCTCAACCAAACGTGTAAACATCCCCCTCGATCACAACAGCTATACTCACAAGCCTCCTGGGGGACCTCCGTCAAAATCTCTACACTGAAATAACGCAAGTCAGAGAGGATGTCAGAGAATTTACTGCACACCTAGATGCGATGGAGCAGACAACAACAGCACACACACCTCACAAGTACTAGAACGCCAAAAATAGGTCAGTGACCTAACCTCTGCCCAAGTCAAATTAAGCCACCAATTGGCGGCACAAGAAGACAAATGGAGGTGAAAGCACCTAAAGTCCTCTCAGACAGTGTCACTGCGGCAGAGCTGCAACATTTCCTCCGAAGGCTATTTGTGGCCCTATTGCCCCAAAAGCAAGCAAAAAGTATTATGCTAGACAGCATGTTCCATCTCCCTAAGCTACAGTAGGTCAAGGCTATGGCCACCAGTGATCTGCTAATCAAATTTCAAAATGGTCAAGACAAAGCTACCATTATGAATGTGACTAGAGGAATGACCCCTTATCATTTTAAAGAAAAGGACCTTACTTTTTATTCAGACCTTTCTCGTCCGACGTTACAGTGGAGGAAGTCATTCTGTCTCTTGATGTCTGTCTTGTCTACTAATGGCATAAAATAGTGCTGGGGCTCGCCACGTTTACTCCTTATACAACACCAGAATATAGAGCATAAAGTGTCCGACTCCTTGGAGATGGAAACCATCCTGGCTATGCTAGACCTGAACCGTACCTCTCCATCTGCGACCATAACCTGGGACTCAGACACTGTTGTTCCATTTACTTCTGCAACCCAGTGCGCAACCAGTGTGGCAGTCACCTGACTTTTTTTTACTTATATTTTTTTTAACCTTTTTTGTCATTGGTACTTGTCCTATTTTTTCATTTGTTACAGTTCTTGATTTATCTGTTGTTTAACATACCACGTTCATAGTATACCATGACCATGACTATGAGGCCTACAAGCTGGCTCCTATATTTCCAACTCCCTCACCCCAGCTCCAAGTATGTGTTTCCCACTACACCCTACCCTGTGGAGCTGTGCTCTTACCAGATTACGTTCAATCGGTTTCATGGTATATTCTTTTCTTTTAAATGCTTTTTCACTTTTAGCCGTGTCATCTCCAGGACTCTATAACTCTTAATATGTATCCTTATGGTTTTAACATGGCTGTTGTAAATTATACTAAAATATAAAACCCATGGTCGGTATTGTTATACTCACTACCACATGTACCCTACTGTTCATATTAATATGTCACAACATTTTTACTGTGGAATAAATATTATAACATTTTTATTGTGGAAAAAAAAGTTATTAATTTTTTTTAAAAATGCTATACTTTAGGAATCCCCAGTCTCATCAATATTTTATTTTAGTCTCACCGGGCCAATATTCCTGTTGGCCTAGACATGCCTCTCCTCTTTTCCTTAAAACCTAAAAATACACACATGTAAGATTTGCTCCCTGGTGAATAATTTGAGTTACCAGGGAGGGATTGTAATAAACTCTCTCCATGCGGAAATCACAATGGTACATGTGATGAATAAGGCCAAGCCAGGGTTCAGCCTCTTTCCCTGAGGACCAGGCAAACAGCACTCACATAAAGTGGATGTATCACTTTTAATGACCTTGGTTTTATACAAACCTCTATATGTGGTGATGACAAATGCCATATTGGCATGTGCATGGTCTTTTGGGTAGGTTAGGATGTCAGTTGTCCCCATACAACACAGGCCTGCACATCGCCTTTATGGCTGCTTTATTTGAGTTCTTCCAATCTTAGGCAAGTGAAGTAGTTTAGATTACCAACTAGGATAAGTGTGGGGATTTCGATTCTTTCAGCTACCGTTAGCTACTAATTGTTCGGCTCCCTTATAACAAATAGGCTAGGGAATATTCCCAGGCTAATCTTGTGAGAGGCGAGAATGTTGTTTAGTTGGCTTGGAAGACCTTTTGCACCTTGAAACGGTGTTGGAGTGTAGCCATCAAAAGGCTAATTTATATTGACTCGTTATTTTTCACTTTTTCATCTGTTTTCTTGCAATTTGGTTTTATAGTTTTTAAATTTTTTTTTTTTTTTTTTTACTTGGCCTTTTATTGGGCCGAAGTAAAGAAAGTTAAAGACTTCTGAAGGTAAAGTCTGATTTTTTTTCTTCACTATTGGGGGGTGGTTAGGGCCTTAATGACCCCTAACCACCAGAGTAGATAAGACTCTCATTTAAGGAGTTGAGGATTGCATGTCATCCCCCTTTGTTTTAATACTCGCAACCTGAATTCCATGCATAGTGAGGTGGACAATGATACGCCTACACCCACATATTACTAAATTGCACCCAACCACTGCCCATGGGTGAGGGCTAATGGGAAGAAAGTGGAATGTTCCTTCACCCTTACATTAATAGCTCCCACCTGACACCTATGTACGAAGGATGTGGGATTATGTCACCCCCTCCTGTATATCATAGAATACCCCCAACCCCATATGTAAAAGCTAGTGTGAAAACAAAACCTTAGATTATGCAACTGATATAAAATTTGTGTATGACCTGGTACAAAAAGATAGTGAAAGAACACATGACAGATATTGGTAGTTACGTATAAAAAGTGTCATGTTCACTTTCACCAGGATTGTGTGAATGCACCATTTTCTTACGTGTAATACTGTTATTCCACCGTACATTTTTGCCTTTTTTCTACCTTATCAATAATGCTCTAAAACAGTGGTTCCCAAACCAGGAGTCTTTTTCGCCTGGAGATAATTGAGTTAATACAGTATCTGACTCAATTATCACCCAGGCAGAGGGGAGGGGTTGTATGATATGTATGGGAGAGAGAATGAGACACATGGGGGGCTAGGAGTGTTAATGGAACACATGGAGGAGCTGGGGGGAGAAAGAGACAGATGAGGGGCCAGGGCAATTTTGGCACAGGGGCACAGTTGTTCTTGTTCACATGGAAATTATTTAGGACTGCCATCTACTGGTACTTGGGAAGCAGCAGTTTTGTTTTAAAGAACTGTTTTTAAAAAACTAATTTAAGCACCACTAAAGGAACACAGACCACTTCATCTTAATGGAGTGGTCTGGGTGCAGTTGCCCTTTAGTTTTAACCCTGCAATGTAAAATATTGTAATTTTTTAAAAGCTACAATGCTTCAATTGCAGAGTTAAACACAAGTGTAATGGCTAACTTCCTAAAAGCTAAAGGTGATCCCCTATGAGAACCGAGCCAAACTCATTTCATAATTAAAGCTGTTCTTGCAATCCTTCTGCTCTCCACCCATAGCAACGACAGCACATGCACTGTGGTTGCTATGGTAACTCCTTAACCGGCATTGCTATCGATGACTAGGAACTATAGGAAGGGAATGACTGATATCACTCCATTCAGATGCCGGCATGCTGGCAATGATGCCAGTGTGTTAGTGGCATGGAAGAGGTTTGCCCTGTTTGGGGAAGTGTTCTTAACCCCTTAAGGACACAGCTTCAAAAGCTTGTCTTACCCTCAAGTACACAAGCCATTTTTGTAAAAATTTTTGCTGTTTGTGTTCAACCACAATTTGCATCTCTCTCATTTATTGCACCAACACATATTTTTTTTTGTTTATTGAACTTTTACTTTGAATACAGATAAAGAGAAGAGTACAGGTAGAGACTCGCAGGTCTCTGTTAATTGTGTCATTACAGTCTCAAACATTGCATAGCATATGGTTTCTTGTATACCTATGTGCCTAAGATGAGTGACTATCAATCGTCGTGTGTCCTGTGTTATTTCCCTCTGTCTTATGAGTGTATCCCCTAGGGTTAAATATCGGTATTGCTTGCCATTACGCTATTTCCTATATTTTGCCCTCAGTACGTGTCATGTGTTCTGCATTGCTCTTTCTAGTGGAGCATGTCGTTTTAACGTTCGTTAGCAGATTGGGTATGCCCCCCTTGGGTGGGATGTGATGATGTGAGTATCCTAAATACTGTTGTTTAGGACGTGGAGACCCATGTAGGAGACCATTAGTTTTGTTCCTATGTGTTGTGTAAGTAGGTGTTGCATTTTTTGGTTATTGTTTTTGTTTTTTCAGGGATTGGCGTCTGCGCCTCAGGGGCTGCCATCGATCCTGCGCCCATGTCGGTTGGGACCTTAATAGCCCTCTAAAGCATGGGCCATCACCCCTCTCCCTTTTGCATCTCCAGCATGTCGGGGGTATCGATGGGAAGATTCGATGTAGGAGGGTTGGTGTTTTATACCATAGTGATATTAGTTTATAATTCACCTCCTGATAATAGGAGCTCATGGAGCTCTTGTGTTGCCACAGCAGTGCCTTATCCCACTGTGCTGAAGAGAATGACTTGCCCAGCTGTTCTTCCCATTGTCTCCAGAAGGTGTTTTTTCGCTGTTTGATCGCCATCACTAAATGTTGATAGAGTGTGGAGATTGCGTTGCCTATTGTAGTACCTCGTTCGCAAAATCCCTCAAACCATGTGAGTTCTCTGTGTAGATGTTCTTTGTGCGGGAGCGAGTCATAGTAGTGTTTCAGTTGTATATATCGGAGGGAGTTTAGGGGAGTTCTTGTCTACCTTCCAGCAATGAGTTGAGGTCCCGTAGCGTCCCGTTCCTCAAGGCCCTGTTTATAGGGATGAATTCCCCGTTGCCAAGAAGGTTCCATGCCCTTGGGGGTAGTCCCCCTCCGATTTTGCTGTTGTATGTAACTGGGAGTAGGGGCTAGGTGTGGGCGATATGTGTGTTTGTTCCCGCAGCGATCTCCAGCTGCGTAAGGTTTGCGAGACCGGGCTTCTCCATTCTCTTGGTCAGTATCCCTCGGTCTCTATTCCACACCAACGATTCTAAAGCCTTGCCAACGCCTCCCTTGTTCAGAGTCATTGTTTGTGTGTGGGTTTCACGTGCCATTCGAGGATGCGTTGTAGGACTGTGCAGAAAAAGGTATATAGGTCGCGCTAAGGGGACAAGAAGGTAAAATAAATAAAATAAATAAAAGTAATAAAAAAGTCCCAAATATAAATAAACCTGTGTGGTTCTAGGAGAGTATACAGTCCAAATGGGTATCTGAGTCTTCTTATGTTGAGGATGTCTTGAAATGCTTGTCAATACGTAGATACATAAAAAGAAAAGAAGAAGAAGAGGAACTCCAATAGTGTAGAATGTCGATATAGTTTCCAGGTATAGGTCTGTAAGTAGGTAAATGACTCACCTTGGCGTGAGCAAAGAAACCTTGCTCAAGTGTTCTTAGCGTTCAGTGGCGTCAATCCCCCACTGGTAGGATATAGGTGATGGGGTCCTGGACAATTCCTCGGTATATAAAAAATGAGAGACGTATATAGTGCTCACTGATGTTTGTAAAAACAAATAAAATAAGTAAAATACTCACATGTACATGAGCAGGAAATACTGCTCAGTATGATGGCGCAGGTGGTACAATCCCCACCTTAGGATTCTTGGAAGTTGACGTACTTCAATCCAAATTGATGACCAGGTAATTCAAATTGAAAATAACAATAAAAAAATAAAAGGAATTAAAAGTATATAGGCAAAAAATAAGGGCCAATATTCCTTTATTAAAATATAAATTATCAATATATATAACAGACTTTGTAATAGCCAAAACGCGTTTCACCACACAGGGCTTTATCAAATGGCATTTAAAAGAGAGAAAA